TTGCTCGTCAGTCGTCACTAAAATCCGCGCACCCGAGACACCACGGTGAAAGTGCACACTTTCTATAGAGTTCGGAGGATTACCGGCTTCAGCCTCGGTTAGAACTGTAGTTTCGCGACCGAAACTTTATCTCACATTGAATTATTATGTAGACAATCCCTCTACTCGAAGTGATTCGATGAAAGTTCAATTGGCTGAAGAAGAACTCGAAGTATGCGTCGAGAGACGATACTCTTTGACCCCTCGATTGAAAACCCAAACTCGCAAACAGATCGTTATTTTTCAGGCCTTCTATCGATTCGTAGGCGCACAAATTTCGTCGAATATATCGGTCGCACGAATGGAAGAGCAGGAAGCTACCACGAGTTTCTTTAAGTAGACAGTCACGACCGTGGAACGGTCCAGTTTCCTGCTGCTCGGTACACTTTCGAGGCGCGGTACCACGAGCAACAACTTTAGCTTGGGATTCGAGGAGCTCGTAAATCCGAACCGCTGCTCACCACGACGTTGATGGCTCCTGGAAAACCGAGCGCGACGCGGCGACCGCTTCTTCGATCGGTTGCTCTTTCGACCTGGCTTCCGACTTGCCCCTTGGCGCGGAAAATTGGGTCCTTGCTTTGCGGTGGCCAGTAGAATCTTTAAACGTGCCTCCTGGGTTCTCCGGTGTCGCCGTTGTTGCCATGGTCGTCGCTTCGCCATCATTGGCTTCCTTCGCGATAACTCGTTCTTTCGGTCTCTTCTCGGAAGAACGTCATAAAATTACGAATGCATCGTCTTGACACGCGGCTCGCGATTAGGCCTCCTCGAAAAGCTTCTCTTACCAGCTGGTTATTAATGATGCGAACGTTGGGAAAAACGTTCGTTATCCTGCAAAGATTCGTCTTCCCATCCAACAGGGAACACGCGGACCGATGTGACGCGTCGACGAGAAGAGTCCAAGCCTCGTTAGCAGTATCGAGAGACGCGTGTACCCACCTATCGACTTACTTCGACCGGCTGCTTTGCATTTTCCCGGAGAAATCCGAAGCGCAGAGCCCCGGAGAACGTCCGACTCTCGCGATTTCTCGTCGGAACCCGTCCGATCAGACTCGGTTTCTATCGAGCATCGCCTCTCCTTTCCGTGGCTGGTAGAAATTGCAATCCTTATTTGACGTCGAGGGTGTAGCGTCGCGCAACAGATTGTCGTAGTACTCGTGTATCCACGAATATGTGGTTGATTGATAGTAAAATTTTCATTCAAGATCGGTATTAGATTCGCTAGCTGAATTAACTCGAATCGTGCCCTTCCAGAAGGTTTTGCATTTCGCGGAGAAATCCGGGAACGATGAGCATTCAGACGGGTACACCTGACTACTCGTTAGAAGCCAGCTCGTATCAGGTTCGTTTTCTTGAACGTGCGCCCTCGCCGTTTACCATCGGACGCGGACGGCTACTTAAAATTCACCGCATCTCGAGGCCTTATCGACGCACCGAAGTCGGACATTAATCTCGCTCGAGCGATTCTCGCGCTGACCCTATTAATGTCACGGCACTCTCGTGTACATGTATACGCGAAAGTTTCTTTGGTCTCTCTCCTCTGCGAATCGCAGTTCGAGAGACGCTGGCCCGATCCAGGTGACGTTTTTTTTTAATTCTTTTTTTTTTCGAAACGTCTAATATTTTCTTTATCAATTAATTAAAATCAGGACTGCTTGTAACGATCGCGTACAAGGTTCAGCCTCGTTTTTCATCGCGGCAGCTGTTGGCTGCAGGGCAGCTGTCCCTTCGTTATTCCAGGGAATTCACCGCGCAGCGTAACGAACACAGAACTCTCGCAGATGCTGTTTCGTGGCAACGAAAAACCACAAGTTCAATTTCTTGCGGTCGATACGATGCTGCACGTGAACACAACCTCTTGTCCTGGTCGTCCTGGCACGAGCCGCTTAGGAACAAAAATTCTAGCTAGGTGGAATATCGATGGAGCGAGTCGACGCAACACTAGTTCATACGCAATAGAAAGACAGACGGGGGAGGGCTGCATCGCATTTCCAAGACAAATTAGGCTGCATATTGGATGCGATTTGTTCGGTGAACGCGCGATCTTTACGAGAATCGTGCATACGCGGCGGCAACAACAACGGAGCGTGGGAGTTCGACCTGAACTCGAGCAGGGAAATCGAGATCACGTGCATAGGTAATGCAGCCACGACGCGCGAGCGAACGAGTGAGCGCACATGGCCGGCTGCGTTCACTTCCTCGACTTCTGAACTTGTTTCCTAACGTTTGCCACGGTTACGTAAACGAGCATCGAGCTTTTTCCTTTGCTTCGAGATTCGCATTCCACGCGGCACCGTCGTAACTGTCCCTACCGAAATGCTTATCGATAAATCGTTTCCCGAAGTGTTCACCAAATCGAGTTCAACGAATCGTACGACAAGTGGAGAAGCCATCGGAATGGATCGAGGGGCAAGAAATGTTCCCGGAACGAACGTTCGCAATCTTCCCCCTGTCTAATGGCGCAACTGTAAATTCGATAGTACGGCGACAACGATTGCGATGTTATTATTGTCGCGGCGATGCGCTTCACGACGTCGCTCGCGAAATTAAAACCCTCGGTTAAACGAAAGTCGAAGAATTACCCAAGAAACCCGCAATTATAGTGATTTTTCGTTCCGTGAAAACGATTGCATTTCCCCTTGACAGCGCGCGCAATATCGTTACTCGTTCGACGCACCGATCTTCCCCTCGAAACGATCTTCTTTCCACCACTGGTGCGTCGTCGACGAAGATTTATTCAGTGTACCATGAAAGGGGTTGCGTGGTATATGTATAGGTACCATTTCGCCTAGGAATGGATCATTAGGATCCATCCTATCATCGGATAGGTCTGCTGTTGTAACAGTTTGGTCATTAGAACGCAGTTAACACAGATAGAGGTCTGTCCATGATCAGTTGACTTGTATCGGCATTTGCCAACCTACAGTCGGTCACAAAAATATAAGGTGTCCCAATATTTTTGTGACCGACTGTGTGTACATACAGTGGACTCTAACTATATTGCCATGTTCAGGGTTGTAGGGGAGTAAAATGGCAATGAGTTCGGAGCCCCCTCCATGCTAAATTCTATCGTCATAGCCTCGACGTCTGCACAAAAGCTGGATCATGCTGGTGCACCGGTGTATGCATCGAAAATACGCCTGAAGGGGAAGTGCCTCGCGTGGCAATATGTTTAGTGGCAATATAATTAGAGTCCACTGTACCTGGACGAGCTGCCACGGCTGTTGTTGCACACGGTACGACGGAGACGAGGCTCGAGATTCTCGTTCGTGGGACACGAGTAAGCCGTTCCGCGACGTCGATCTTGCAACCAGTTTATCGGCAGAAAAGTGTCCGGGACGGCGATACCAACCCAGAACGTTGCGGGTCGAAGCCGGCCGAGCCAGAAAAATCTCTAAGCCGGAGCGCACGCGAACTGTACAAACTTTATCATCGTTGGTATCGCGCAAGTTTTTGCTGGATGGGGGGCTGGGTCTCCCCGAGCAAGAGACCAAGCCGACCGACCGATCCAGGCTAATGCCATCGATAATTGCATCGATGATCTCACTTCTGCGACCGGGACCGTAAAACTTTCCCGACCACAAACTCTCGACGCGGTCGTTAGCAATTTTATGACCGCCGATAATTAAAGCGACGCGCAGCATGCTTTCCGATCGGAAGTATTCGCTTGGAATGTTGCTCGTACAGGACTCGATCGAGACGACTCCGTGGGGTGCACCGACCTTCGAACAATACTCGTTAATGACGACATCTGTCCTTCGTAATCCGACAGTTTCGTCTTTTTTTCTTCATCCCAAAAGAGCTGTCCTGTGAAATCGAGGGTCCGTTGATCGTGTCCGTTGATCGTTTGTAGTGACGCGGCGATGAATCGGTCCAGCTAAACAAAATGAAACAAATGAAAACGGCCGTCTATGCCCGCTCGAAAGAAACGAGCAGCTCCGTGTAAGATCGGCGGCGCCGAGCCTTGCGCTGGTGTGCTTTCACCGTTGTTCGTTCCTACGGTTCGAGCTCGGGAATCGAAAGAGTCGGTCGGCAGCGAGGAGCATTGGCCGCGGCGGCGCAACTTCGCTTTCTAGAGGCTGTTTAGATCATCGGATTACACCGAGCTGCACCGACTCCGATCGTTGAGCGCGCTCCCGGTATCGAGGATCATCATGGATGCATTGTTGTTAAACACTAGCAACAATGTAGCTCATTTGTTATTTATCGAGTGGAAAATTGAAGCTGCAAATGTGCGCCGTCCGCATGGTGGCATAATTTCCACGTAATTAAACAATCACGAGAAATGAATCTGTATGTGTGTGTCTGTTGTCCGGTCGTTAATGGAAGAGCGAAAGTGAAGCTTCTCTTACGCGTGCAATCCTCCTCGCGGAACGTGATTCCACGCGTAACTTCGTCACGGTCCCCCGAGAAAAATACGCGCCTCTTGTCGGGATCGTGGCTGATTGTCTTACCAAGTATTATATGTATGTACACTAACGTGGAAACTCGGCTTCCGCTAGGGGAAAACGTGTCGAGGAGGAAGGGCCTTTTACCACTTGATAAATTTATTTCATGCTCTGAAGTAAATGTTAAACCGAATGTTAATTTGGCATACATCTCAATAGTTCTCGATACCAAATAGTAGGAGGCCTTTTCCCCACGTCACTTTTTCCCCTAGTGGAAAAAATGTTAATGTGGTATACATTTCAATTCATGCCACTAGGGGAAAAAGTGACGTGGGAAATAGGCCTCCTACCATTTGGTATCGGGAACTATTGAAACGTATGCCAGATTAACATTCGGTTTAACATTTATTTCGGTGCTTGAAATAAATTTATCAATCGGTAAAAGGCCCACCCTCCGCAACACCTTTTCCCTATCGAAAGCTGTGTTTGCACATCAGTGTACATAATTCAAGGAACACATGTTCGTTCGCCGTACAGTTGCCTGTAAAACTATGATTGGTTCGCTTGTGTTCGCAGAGGCAAATACGCAACGGTGAGGAGATGTCGGGAAAGATCCAGCGGAAGACAATGGGCCGCCAAATTCCTGCGAAAGAGACGAAGGGCACAGGAATTAAGGGCGGAAGCGCTTCACGAGGTCGCGGTGCTGGATGCCGCGGCGAATTGTTCTCGGCTGGTGTCCCTTCATCAGGTGTTCGAGACGAACGCTGAGATGGTCTTGGTTCTGGAATTGTAAGTCCACTCTTATCGTTCGGAGAAATCGTTATCTGCCGCGCTGAATTCCAAGCGACGTTTTCTCGAACAGCTTATGCTGTGTTTCGCGAGCGCAAATGTTCGTTTCTATACTCGCGACTCGATGGGAAATTTATCAAACGGTTCGGATGTAGGCACACCGACGAGCAAACTCGGCTTCCTCTAGGGGAAAAAGCAATGTAAAGGTAAGACCCTCCTACCACTTTGTAAATTTATTTCAATAGGATAGGAGGATTTTCCTCTGGTAGAAAAAACAATGTAGGTGTAAGGACCTCCTCCGCTTGGTATCGGGAATTACTGAAATTTATGTTAAATGAACGTTCGATTTAACATTCATTTCAGTACTTGAAATAAATGTATCAAGTGGTAATAGACCTTTCCCTTGCGTCACTTTTTCCCCTATCAGAAGTTTGCTCGCGAGGGTACATAAGAACGTCGATGTTATTTTTTTCTCCTTTGCCTCGGTAGGGCCCCTGGTGGTGAGTTACAAATGATACTGGACAGGGACGAAGTTCCAGAGGAGCGACAAGTCGCTAGATTATTGAAGCAGATTTTGGATGGTATAGCGTTCCTGCACTCCCTGAACGTGGCCCATCTGGACATCAAGGTAAGCCACGGAAGCCAGAATATTCCGCGACGCGACGTAACGAAAACCAATTCGCGAGCACGACGGAACGTAGGATCGCGGTCGGATTCTTATCTCGCGGTCGTTAAAAACAACGGAGTACTCGATAAGAGCTGAAAGATTGTCGTTCCCGCAAATAATGCTTATCTGAATTTTTCTTCGTGAGCTGCAAAAATCTCTAAGCGGAATTGGCACGAGGACGCGCATGCGCGCTCGCGAGTTCACTCGAGCTACACGTTCCTTCGTGGATGGTGGATAATAAACGCGGGGGAAAATATAGAACAGCTTTGCTACTCTGCAAGACACGTAGGGGGGAGATCGAGGAGAGAAAGGAACTGGTTGGCAACGAAACGACGACGATTTCAGGCAGAGCTGGCAGTTTCTCGGCGGCGGCGCGACGTGTTCCCGCGCCGCGGTTGGTGCAAACGACCTAAATTGTTATGTAAAAGTATCCATGTAACACGATGATCTTTGCCAAAACTCGGGCCGAGCACGAAATTTCCGCGCTCCATCGAGACCGCCGCGATACGATCCGCATCGTTAACAGCCATTTTCGCACCTGTGTGCCATTCGTTTCGCCCGTCATCGACGTGGCACACCGAGCTGAAATTACGAGAGACGGTATTAATTCGAACGGCGTTTTCCCAGAAAACGTGTGCTGTCTACATTGTTGCGCCTGGTCAATCGACTTTCTCGCAAATTTTAACCGTTTGGTAGAAAGCGGCGACGCTTTCCTCAGCAGCCCGGAAAAGGGGGACGCGTCTTTCCGCGCACGGGGCTCGTTTCGAACGGCAACGAACCGTTGTTTGCACAGGGACAAATAACACTGGGTTGGGCATAGCATGTGCGCAGAAGACGAACACGCGAAGAACAGACCGAAAACGAGTCATCGCGATGGAATCCCGTCGAAACACACTCTACCGATATGTACTCCGTTTCAGACTACTAAATTATTTCGGTACCACCATCCTCGAGGGAGTCTTGTCTCGCCGAGAAACATTCGGTCGAGAATAGCTCGATGGTGTCGTCGTCCCCTCCTTTGAACTTTTTACATCGGAGAACGATGAATGCTTCCATCCTGTGGAAATTTCATAGGGAAACCCGATGTCGTGGGCTGCATCGCGAAGGCTAGATCATCCTGCGTTTTCAATTAGAAAGGATTCCAATCGGGTCGCGACGGCGAAGAGTCTCATTTGCGACTCGAACGAAAAAGAACCGTCGTCGGATTTGCATAATCGGTTCTTCCAACGATAAATCTCGATTTCGCCGGTAAATAGGTTTAAATTGCGTTAAACGTCGCGATGGGATCGATGCATCTTCGAGGCGATAGATGAGTCCGCGCGCTTTTGTACACGCGTCACGAAGTTCAGTGCACACGCGTTGCAACCAAGAAGACGTTTTTCTTATTTGGCGATAGCGTCGATTTGCAATTTGCGACGCCGAGATCGACGCAGGTAGGCAGGCAGCCAGGCTGGGCGTAGGTATACGAGTATGTATAGTCGTACGTATAGGTGTTTATCGATTATCGGAGTGATCGATATGGGTAAGCCAAGGCGAACGAGTCATATTAATAATACTCCCTCTGCGACACACGCGTCGGGTCGCGTATTTCAGCCTTCCTCCTACTTTTTTCTTTTTGTTTTTTTTTTTTTTATATTCCTCTTAACGCGGCTCGGATTATGATCGCGGTTATGCAACCTAATTACCCGGCTTTCGCAAATTGATAGCAATTTGCGGAGATGCAGGTTACCAGGTACGCGCGCTCGACTACGCGGAGGCTTCGAGACGGGGAGTTATTAAATTCGCGTCTACGAGCCGTCGAATCGTAAAAGAATCGAATTACCCACGAGCAGACGCAATTTCAAATTGCCAGTGAACGCAATAAAATTACCTTTCACGCGTTAAACCGCCGCGACGTACCTACGTACTTTGCTCGGTCTTATCGGCTCTTCTGTCCCGATACCAACGACGATTAAGCACCCGTCGGAATTATCGGCTTGTTTTCCAACCGATAAGATAATACCGCGTTCTAGATGCGCGAAACGATTCGATGAAACGGCAACCAGGTAAAAGGTAGGCTACTCTGCGCGTTTACAGTGGCTGCTTACACTGAAAATCGTGTGTAACCACATTGCCTCAATCGATCGAAATAATGAATATTATTTCATAATTTTCGCACGTTTCCAATTTCACCGTTCAAGATCTCGCTTTTCGAGACGTCGATAGATACTTTTCCCATCGTCGTCTTCGTGCCCGTCCAAGTCTCGCCAGACGGGACTCTCGAGAGGCGCTCCGATCCGGCTGGTCTTAAAATATCCTCGTGCCACGAATTCGCGCTACATGACTGACCCAAATATAGATCTTCGCGGTTATGAATGGAAAAATGCAGCGAATTCTTTGGCCCCGTTCCAATCGGAGCCTCTTTGGACGATGTCCACGACGTTTCCGGCGCCGGGCAGCGCCGTGCCAATGATCCACAGTCGGATTCGCAACGTTAAAAAATAGCTTTCTTTTTCGGGAGCTACAGTAAATTCTCGATGAGTGTTGGAAGGTTCCTCGGCACTGAACATTAAATATTTGATAAACTAATGGCCATATGCGGTTGAAACAAATATCATTGGCTTTAGAATTTCAGACTCTAGCATTGTGTTAAACCTAATTAAACAGTCAGCGTTACACCTGGGGACCTCTTCATCAAATCCACCTTACTAAACAAAAATCGCTTACAGTATGAATTTACATTGCTGCACAACAAAAATGATTACCCATTCAAATACGCGGTTCCCAATCGTGTCGGTTGATCGAGCGTGTTGGTACTCACGGAATGTCATCGTCGGGAAAATGACCGGTTGGAAACGGTTTCTCGGTACGACAGACACGCTATAATAACGAGATATCTAAATTGCCGTCAACGACCCTCGTGGTACGTTCGTCTTATTTTTCTTCTTGCATACAGTATCTTCTCGCGCGCGGACGCACGTTTTTTAGCGGATTTTGTAGGGAATGGAGGCGATCGACCTCCGGGAGAGAAAGGGAGAGAATCATCAATGAACTCTCGGTCAGCCTTGACAGTTGAAGCATCAGGCTCGTACCGAGAATTCCATTTCAGCCGTGGTCAGTGGCTCGCGTTCCCTCCATCGATGCACGCGTCTGCTGCTCGTTCGTTCGTTAGACAGACACTGACGCGGCGGGCTCGAGATGAAATCGATTCATTGGCCTGTTAATGGGATAGTGGAGCTGTCCGAAGCGCAGAAGCCGTGGTGCGGTTTCTTTCGTCGCCGTATCCTGCGGAGCGCGAAACGAGTCAACGAAAAACGGTATCGATGTTCGTGGAAAAGTGAGACATAAGGGTTAAAGTAATAACTAGACTGCGGATTTTTATGCAAAATAACATTTCCTAAGGTAATCTATAAAGACAGGTGCAAATGTAGAAGTTTATTTTTCCTCTTAACCCTCTTCCGTCCTTGTTCCGTCATCTGTAGGTAAATTTAGCTGAGGCTTCGTGAATTTTATTTCAAAGAATTTACAAGTTTAACTATTTATCACTTCATTGTATTAATCTTTACCACTGGGTCAATTTGACGCCGAGAGACAAATTAAGTTGGGAAAATGAGGGACAGATGAGGGTTAAGTATCTTATTGGGTTCAGACTAAAATAGAAAACTCATTGGATCCAATGAAAGTTTGGTCTTTTATTCACAGAGTCCTATGGACCATAAATGCATAAAATCCACTGTCTAGTAATAACACCGACGAAAGTTATTCTAGAAATCGATTGATTTATTACAAAAAACACAAGGATTAGCGATTATGTTGATTTTTTTTTTAATATCTACTGGTTTGTCGATGGGTCAAGTCGAATCAATAGCGGCACGCTTTCGCGTACCATGAATCTCGAGCTCGTTCGCTATTCCCTCGGTCGTTCCCCAGAACTTTATTACATTCATGCCGCACCCGTCCACGTTCACGCTGACGCTTCACACGCACGTACACTTGCACGCTCTCGCGTCTGCCAGCGCGTATACCATAGGGTCGCTTCCCCCTTCGCTCAACCGCCGGAAGTTTCAATGAACGCGAGAGACGGATCCTCATAAATTTGTTGTCCGTTGGCGAAAAACCGTTCTGCCTTCTAACTACGGGGTAGCCATTTTCACGTTGTCTTTTCTGCCGTCGAGCTACACGTTCACGGTGCATGCCACGGAAACGCAGATTGAAGGGTGTATTGACAACGTGAAAAAGTATTTATAATTACTAGACTGTCGATTTTACGTATTTATAGCCCATAGACCACTGTGAAATACAATAAAAGGCAAATAATATACAAAATATATAAATTACTTTAGAAAATGTTATTTTCCATAAAAATCCGCAGTCTAATTATCACCCACCGTCACCGAAGTGTTTGTCCGCCTGGAAATTTCAGAACTTTTTAGCCAGCACCCCGTTACGAGGTGTAAATTTTTGTCCCCGTAGGAACTACTTTTTCGCGAGGTCGAATCGCCGGTCGGATGCGCGCGCGTGGTATCGTGAGAATTACCCCAGAGGAACGTTCTTATTTCGAGAACTCGAGCATACCAGCAACCCTGATTTAATGGCTTACGTCCTTCCTGCAGTTTTTGCATGCGCTCCACGTTAAACGGCGACATCCGACAAACCGTGCTCCGGGAACAGGATCACCCGTTACACTTTCCTAGCCGCACGAATCGTGGATAAGTACCTATACGTGTATATATTACGCGTGAGATCATTGATCGAGACGTTCGGTCTAGCCGGGACGATTCCTCGGTCAAAGATTCCATCGATCGTTCACCCCGTGAAAAGGCGACCGTTCCAACAGACATGCCAAAAATGTTCATTTCTCGCGAATCGATCCAACCGGCAAGACGCGTTTAATATTCACCTAACCAATGAGGAAACGAGCTATCTTATTTGCCAAGGTGATCCACGCGCGTACTCGCGTCGTAATAATTTTCTCTGTAATCGATCCCGACGCCTACATCGTTCGCGTCGAGGATCGAGGAACATCCGTGAAACGGCCGCTGACGTACGAACTTCGTAATGGGTAATTATGGAAATGTCTTTGTTCCTTATTGTACAACTTCCGGTAATCGTCGAAGACGGGCAATACCGTCGAGGGCGTGTTCGAAGCTCGAAAGTCGAAACGATCGAACATGCGCCTCGCGACAGATCAATTTATCCTTGACCCGTACTCGTAAAAAACATTGAAAGGTCTAAAAACGGGTGAAACGTCACGACGGGGGGCAACAGCCCACGAAGGTTTCGGTGGCGTTTCCGTAGGACTCGCTGGACGAGGTTGAACCAACCGGGGACGAGTTTTGGAAAGGAGAAACGGGTCACGAACAAAACGTTCCACAACCTGGGAACGTTACAGGAGCACTTTTGAATCGCGCGTTACTCGTCGTATGTCGAGCGTCTTACAATGCAGTCCGGTCACGTTCGACTCGTAACTCGGTATAACGAAACGTAACGCGCAAACTGAATTCACGAGCGGAACGAGCCTACACGCCACGATTCCTACAACCACGCCTCTGTTCCCCCTTGTTCAATGGATCTTCCAATCTGTCTTTGGATAAAAATTATCGGAAAAAATTAAAGAAACATTCGGCAATCTCGACTAAGTACATTTAGGGAAAGATTTTCAGCCCCTCATAAATTTGTTTTTTGTCTGAAGCCGAGTATCTATTTAACTCCTATTTACTCTATTTTGATTGGTTCCAAATAAGCAATCCCCCAGTGGTGGGAATAACGTGATTGCTCGTGTCGCATTCATCGAGGGTTCACTGTATATACATGTAGATACGAGCACGTGTTTTCAATCTATTCTGCGTATTCGTCGTCAACGTACGGGATAATTATCCTAATGCGAGCGGGACGATAATGGCATCAATTTTTCGTCGAGTCTTCGCTCGTGTTCGCGTCCCGCTAATTGAAGCGATCGCTGATCATCCATGGAGATGACTCGCTAGGGGGAGAGCAAAGTCGACGGACGGTTTTATTACATTTTCGCAATCACGCGCGAACCATCCCCAGAGTTTTTCGAACCGTTCGCGAACTCTCTTCCTCCGAGCATGGGAGAGACATACGGCGGAGAGAAAAATGCAGGTACATGTGCTCAGTTGCTCACGGCACGATTAATTGCCCCGATTGCGTGACGAACGCGTCGCGCCACGTCGCGCTCCTCTTGAACCGTCGTATATTAAATACGTTTAATTAAGTGGGATCTTGCGTAGGCACGGGGCCATGTAATGATCGTTGAAACCCTCGTCCCGTGGAAAAAACTGCACCGATGCATGTTCACTCGGAACCGCGGCTACTTGCCACCGCCGTGTTGCGTCCGATTGCTTTTACACACCCGGAGAACACGTTTCCCTTCGTCGTCCAGAGGCTCTGTGCGCAGCCAGGAAATTCTTATCGTTACGATAGCCTCTTTATCCAGGAGTTTTGTTTCTCACGTTACGTTTGTTTTTTTTTTTTTTTGTTCATTTGCAGCCTCAAAATCTCGTCCTCACCGGTGAGTTTCCACATTGCGACGTGAAGCTTTGCGACTTTGGCATCTCGCGGTACATTAGCCACGGTGCGGACATACGGGAGATTCTGGGAACACCGGATTATGTTGGTGAGTACAGATATATATGTATATCTGGACACCAGTGCCAGAGTGTATTAACCCCACTCTTTAAAAAATGACATTTCACATGTTTTCTGTACCAAAATATTTCACTCCTTCCGATCGTAAAATTATTTCGCTCTAAATCGTATAGTTTTTAATATAGGTAAATAATAGTCTACAAATGATGTTAACTTCATATTTTTTAAAACAGTGTAAAGTCCACCACATAGGAGAATTAATGCAAAGTTCACCATATCTACATATAGAGACTTGTTTTAAATCAATTCAATAGTTCGAAGGTAGTGATTGTTTCTCGCTCAATTCTTCCCAAACGATTCCAAAGTTACAATGTCTTTGCACCTTTAATTTGCTCTCCTTTAAAGTTTAAAAATGATGACTTAACACACTCTGGCTTTGGGGTCCAGATATATTGATATACATCTGTGAGTCGATGATGACGAACACAGATCGTGTGATCGATCGTGCTAAAACTTTTCCTTAAATCGGATCAATCGCGTTGGTTATAGCTCCGGAGGTGTTAAACTACGAACCGATTAGCTTGGCAACCGACATGTGGTCCGTCGGAGTGCTGCTATACGTTCTGTTAACGGGATGCTCCCCGTTCGGTGGCGACACGAAGCAGGAAACGTTCTGCAACATCAGTCGATGTAGACTGGACTTTCCCGACGACCTGTTCGAAGATGTGTCCGAGGAGGCACGGGATCTGATGCGCAAGCTGATGGTCAAGGATCCAAAGTAAGTCATCCGATCTCTCCATTTCGTTGCGCCCGATCGCATTCGACACGGAAAACGTGTAACGGTCGCGACCGGGGCTCTTGTGCATCGTCGTCGTTGGAATGTCGCGCGATCCAACGATGCGTCCGCGATACAACGCGACGGATTACTTTCGTTCCTAGAAGCTAAATAATGCCAACGTACGCGACCTAACTAACAACGTTCCCGAGATCCAACGCGTTGCCTTCGCGCCTATCCGTAACCTATCTTCTTTCGCTTCGAGGTAAGCGGTAAACGTTCCTAGTAGGTCCGCTCCATGCTTCTTCGAAGGTATTATTTTAGCCAGTGCCGGAATTCCTAGTACCCGTTACCCTTCCGACAATACTTGACCGCGACGGTTCGCGTTGGTATCCTATCGGGCGGTGGTAGTCGACGAAGAAAGAGGGGAGGATTTATTTCGTGGTATATATGAATCGGAGACAGCGTACCCCGTGGAAAACTCGTGACTCGTGCGTACGTTCTGTCGAAGTCAACTCTAACGTTTCGAGTGTCGCGCGATATACCCGTCCCCGATGGGTACGAACTCTCGAAACCCGATCGTCCAACTTCCTGCATCGGTGGAGAACGTTGGCCGTACGTGGAAGCGTAACGATCGACATTCCAGCTCGCGACGACTTTCTTCGGAACGGGAAGAGATACGTTGGCGTATGGAACGAGTTCCGCTGAAAAACTCGTAGATTTCCTTATCGTCGACCAGTCGGACAGCTGGGAGGAAGTCCCCATCCGGAATATCCTCGGCCTTCTACCGCAATGTCTGGCTTATCTCGTTACTGGCGCGGTGATCGCGTTATCGTCCCGAGTACCCGCGTTGTATCCTCCTCTCCCCTTCATTCTTCCTTTCGCCTTTACGCCATTTGTGTTGTTTTCCATCCTGGTCGTTGTCCTCGTTACCTCCGGTCGCGCGTTTCTTCCTAATCGTTCTATTTTGTCCTCGCCCGTTATGTAACCAGTCGATCCGTTCACCGAAGACAGAAGATCCAAGAACCGTTGCTTTACGATTCCTGACGTTTCGCCCGATACGCGAATACCTATGACCGACGAAGATACACTCCAGACACAAGAAGATAGAACATCCTTTGTCCTGCTGGTTTCCTAAATCCGACACTTCCTGAGCCGTATGATACTATAAGACGACGCACAGGATGGTTCATTGATCGCATCTCTCTGTTTCTTTAAGCGAACGTCTAACCGTCACGGAGTGCCTCCAACACTCGTGGTTCAGCATGTTCGACGACCCTCAACCAGATCTCTCCACGATCACCTGCCCGATGTTGGATCAGTCTGCGAACGAAACAACGACGATAAAAACAACGACGTCGTCGCCTTCACGGGATTCAAAATCATTCGCGAAATCCGTTGGCACGACAACGGAACAGCCAGCCACAATGTCGTCGACACCGAAAAACGACTCGGACAAACACACCCAAAGGTCTTCGAACCCGAACGTTTGCCAAGGCATGGAGACGAAATCGACGCGAGCCGTCTCCTCGCACACCGAAAACCTGTACTCCAAGTCAAAGTTATCGGCGAAGCCTATTCGATTCGGTTTGAGCCCCGACCGTAGGGACACTTTCAAGAGGAACATGGACTCGTTGGCGCAGAAGTTTTCCGGAACGGAAATTGTGATAATCGAGCCTGCCTCCGCCGTGGGTGCGAACGTCGCGAGTAACGCGACGACCGTCACGCAAAGAAGGGCAACGGCGACGCACACAATGCCCGCTGGGGAAGTGTTCAAATGCACGCCTGTGTTCATTCTAGGCGAGGAGCAGCACTGCAGCGACAGCGGCAGCGACACCGTGTCGGAAATCTCGACGGACAGCTCGAGCGATCGAAGCAGCATCTATTCGGACGATTCCCTGGACTTTCTGATGTTCGGGAAGAGTCAGGGTAGGGCCAGTTTTCCTTTCGCGGCGACGGAATCCTCGTCGGACAGGTGGGACCAAAGGCATCATCAACAGCACCATGCCAGGGTGTGGCCGAGAGAGTGCAACGGGGTTGTGAGCAAGGCACTCAGCCGATTCACGTCCGAAACCTCGAGCGCAAAGATCCCGAAACTCTCGAGCCCCCCGACGATCCACGGAAAGACTGGTTTGGAAGCGCTTCGCGAAAGGGGTGGCAACTTGGTGGTGATCCGCGAACCTGTCCGGGCTGGAAGGTACACCAGGTACAGCGAAGTACAGTGCGAATCGGTGCAGGCACGAATCAGACGATTTCAGGTCCACGGAGCCTCGTAGATCTAACGTCTGATCTCTGATTCTTGACCGGAATCGGTTTCATCGAAGCAGCCTCGGTCATCAGCGGGCCTGGAGTCCCGAGTCCGCGATCGTCCAGACAACCGCGGTGTCTCGTTGTACATATTATAATATTTTACGGTGTACAGTATAGTTGGATGGTACGCGTTACGAAAAATCGGTATGGCACGACCGGAATTATATGTTTATATGTGTATATATATTGTTCGGTGTGCCAGAAAACAGGTGTAAATACGTGGATGGGTTGCGAGAAGAATGCCGATCATTCGAGACGCGTGTTGTACATATTCGGAAAACCGAGATTCTACGACGATAGAGGAGAACAACGACAAGTAAACGGGCGTTGTTGCCCACGCGTCGAGTTTCAGACGGATTTCTCGTATACTAACGGAAGAACGAATGCTAGATTCCACATTGTAAATAAGAGGGAGATTGAGTTCGGGATGAAAGGGGTTTGAATGATCGAACGATAGAGACCGAGACGCATAGTCTGGCATTGTCGGCCATTAACGATAGACTGACCGCCGTCCTCTCGACCTGAAGAAAAAGCAAAGCGAGTTATAACGCGCGTTACATCGAGTCGCTCGCGAAACGAATGTCGGTGTATACCGCAAACGATCGACCCAGGGGTTCGAACCTCGCGATTATTACGTAAGTGGAAAATGTCGGACATATGTCAGACTCTATTCGGAATTCCCCAGTAGTGTCGATCGTTTGCTCGGGATAATTATCTGCCGGGCTCGCGTTAATACGCGGGTCCGTTCTGCCGACCAGTCAATTCGTCGAACTAGCCATATCATCGATCGATCGATCGATCGTTCGAGCTGATCGTCGCGATAGAAATAACGAAAAACCGCCTCGGAGGTTCGCGCGGCGAATCATGCGGAAATCTAACTTCGGTGCCTTTACAGTAAGCGTAGTGCCTAGTTCTATTTTTCTCACTTGCCCCACCGTGTCTGTACCGTGGAAATACACGTCGCGGAATCTTAGAACAATCTATCGGTCGCACGATGGAAGAAGGTACGCGGACCGAGTGACGCGATACAATTATTAGAAAAACTCGACGAACGAGCAGAGAAAGCCTCTTCGATATTCGCCTTATTGCTGCAGTGCCTTATCTATAGTTTACGAAGAGATTTTTACAAATCGTGGCGTCGATCGAAATTGAGAGCCTAAACTAGCGTTAGGCGTCTCCAATTGTTCTCGTTGGTTCGATACGATCTCGTTCGGGAGATTAATTAGACATCGCGAGTCCTATCGGCGCTGGATAACGCGATTACACACCATCGAACGGTTCTTTAAAACTTTGAAACTTTTTACCGTTTTTGTTTTCATCGTCTATGCACCTAAAATCTATTTACTGCCTTTCGACGCGTCTGAAATATGCGCCGATTCTACTGCCGGTAAACGTACATCTAGAAAATATCACCAATGAGAAACACATCCGCAGACGAATCTTGAACTGCTACAATTGCTCACTCGTCGAACAAAGTCGGGATCTTTTTCGTCCTGTAAATCAAATATAGGTACATTCATACATGTACATATATGAACATATTATATATGTACGTATATGCGCGTGAATAACAATAATATAATGATAATAATTTATATATAATATAAATATATATAAAGAACGAGCGGGGGAAAAAGAGTGATGGGGGTGGGGGAAGGGTGGGAGAGATTGTTATATCAGTTTCGCGAACGTATGTGTCGCGAAGCATAGCCGAAAAGATAATGGGAACGCTTAAATTTCTTGTGAAGTGCCAACTTCGGTGGTCGAAGGGAGCGCTTCGTGAATGCTAGTCATATACGTTGCTCGTCGAACTCCTCACGAATTCGTTCGTTTCTCCGTAATCTTCACCCGCTCGAGTCCGTTGCATCGAAACGAATCGATTCGGAAGAGAAGAAACGAGCGGACGATCGAAACGACGAATCGCGCGTCGATGCCGAATAAAAGATTCGAACTTTCAATTGCGCACGGTTGAAACAAATAAAGCTTGGAACTTGTTCCGCGGCAAACTTTCGAGAAGCTCACACGCACAAAAATCGCAGCTACCGTTCGCGGTGTTTCACCTCGTGGATCGAGGGACCGTTAACGAGCATCAAACCGGGAACATTGTTACATGCACTCGTCCGTTGGAATTCTGAGACGCACACGGAGTCACCCGTAGACGCACGATGATAAAAGCGCGGAAGAGACGTTTTGAACGAACCATATCCTGTTTGAATGATGTGTGCAAAACGAACGAATGAACAACGAACGTGAAAATCGAGAAACGGGTGCGTGAGTCGCGTGAGTCGTGTGAATTAATGAATGCCTCCGAGAATCAAAGGAACTCATAGAGACCTGTAATATAGTTTTGCTACCAGGGTAGAGAAGGGCGTGTATCCGAGAGAGTTTGTTCAACCGTTCCTCGAGGCCAATTCGTCGTTATTTATTACCGTCTACTCTCTGTCCGATATTATATTTAATTATTTTGCGTTCGCGTTTTTCCTTTTCTTTGCCGTTTCTTTCGTTCATACAGGTCTCGCGGAGGAGCATGCCGTATCTCCCTGTTACTCGGACACGCCCTGCTCTCCGACTTATTCAACTATCATCATTATCATTATCATCATCATCATCATCATCATCATCATCATCATTATCATTATCATCATTATTATTATCATTATTATTATTATTATTAGTACTACTATTACTACTACTACTGCTACTACTACCGTTGCTACTACTACTACTACTACTACTACTATTATCATTACAATTACTCTTACAGTTATTATTATTATTATTTTATTATTATTATTATTATTATTACTGCTATTACGTTATCGCTGTAATGTTATCAATATCGAGATTAATTACGGTTAGAACAGTCGCGCATATAGCTATCAAAATCTCCTGTAAATACTTCTGTCATTCTGTATTAATTTTAACAACGTGCGAAATAAATACCGCAGATCAGTCGAAACACAGAGTGATCGTTTGTCCCGTGTAGAATCATGCACGAAACCTCGCGTTTCGTTACATATTCGGTGTGAACACCGCGCGAATCCGAGATTTCCCATACACGGGAACGAAGTATTTCCAAGAACGTCGGTTTTCTTTTCATCCTATAAATAGACGAGCATTAATAGCAGCCAGGTGACGCGATGATTCACCGTCGAGATTTCCTGCCAGAACAAAAGCTACCGCTAATCCCATTCTAATCCGAACGCGACCTCAGGGAATCTATGTGGTAGTATTTACACGCGTTTTCGTTCAACGTCGATTTCGGGCGGGTAATTTAATCGATTGATACGAAAAATATTGCAGATATAATTGTTCCCGCTCAACTTGGTCACCGTTGCATAATCCTCATCCGCAAGGAGGTTCTTGCATAACATCGATCGATTCGTACCGACCGGAGCTGTACACCGAAAATCGCGGGACGATCGGGGAACGCAGAAGTTGTCGTGAAACTATAGTTTAAGCTGGAACGAACGAACAAAAACGTGTTTGAATGAAACCTGGCGAGAATATACAGCTTCAAACTTACATACCCGCTAGTTTCGCCTCCAGGCAACGCGCCCACATGATGTACGTTCTAGGACCTCGAACATCTGAACTTTAATCGAGACATCCGGATTGGCAGCAAGGGCCATATAATTAATTTATTTTTTCGGTAGCTATTACTGAAAGCTCGCTCTGGTTTGCGAACGTACGTCGATGACAGTGGAACCTGTCGAGAGAACGAGAGCAAATAAGTACCCTGACGTTGCTCTATATAAATTGAATCCCGGCCGATGGAATTTTGGTCGGTCAAGGGTAACCGAGAGAGGCTGGCGAACGGCAGATAATCGCGTATAAATTCGCCGAAGTAGCGCGGACAAAGATGGAATTGCGGTGGCCTGTAATTACAGGTGACTCGCCGCTTTTGACGGTGCCCGTTTTAATGTTCGCGCGATTGCGACGAGCCGCCACTGTTTTTTCCTCTCGACTCGTAATGTCGAACTTGCCGGTCGGTGATTCGCGCGTTGGCCTACGCGTTAATTAACGAATATGTCATTGGAAAGCGTGATCACGCGGCTTCGAATGACTTCAATGTCCACGATCGATGGTGATCACTGGTGTGTTGCTTCAGCAATTCCTAGATACCACCGCGAATTGCCGGGCAATCGACGCACGTGCCTGCGGCGTTCTCCATTCACGGAAACAGCAGCATCTGGTCACGATGAAATTCTCCACTGGATAAGTCAATAGAATCGTCGATATACAAACACATACCTACGAAGAACACATCGGATTAGTTCGTATTTCGATGCAAAAACCCGTCTAATCTCTCGTTGGCGGACCCAACTAATTTCCCGATACAGGATTTCCTAGGACGTAACCCTGCGAAACGACGCGACAAGATCTCTCTACCGTGGACGTCTCGAGGTCAATGGGTACAAGGAAGGCCTATCTCGAGGGGCTGTCGAGGTTTTCGGAGAGTAAAAACGGTTTAACGATGGCCCGAGATAAATGTTCTGAGACCTTACCGAACGTGGAACTTGTAAATTCTGGCAATGTAACCGAGCCAGTAGGCATTAATCGGTCGCCAAGTATGGTTGTAACTCGATTATTAGACGCGAGCCGGTCGTTCCTATTGTGTCTAATTCTCGGATCGTAAATCGTAGAGAACTTGCACGTGCATGCTGTGCACGTCGAGCATTACGAGCAACCAGTGCACACATCATACCCTCCTTTATGGTAGTCGGTAATTTGCATTCTCCGCGGATACCGGCGCATGTCTCTCCTTCGTCGTGGTAAATAATGCTTGGTCCGTGGATCTAACAAGTCGGAATCGTCGCACACAATGTTTCGAAACAGGCATCCGACCGCGAAAAGCCCGTAATTTTCATAATTTTCTATTACTCGATTCTCCGGTTTCTTCCTCGAACTTCCTAAAATCCTTAATGATCCTCGATTAGAATGTGCTCTCTACCTATGAAAATTGTTTTTAGTGAAACAATATAAAACTTTTACCATTATTTTGTGGTTCGGAGTCACTTCTTCGATTCGCCCATCGAAATGTAACCCTTCCTCCGGAATCACCGATGTAGTTCGCGAATGTCTTGGCAAACCGTTACCGACCATTGATTTTTCCCGCGATAAAAGTGAGATGTACCGACTTCGATTGCCGCGGACACGTCGACGGATCCAGTCGAGGACATTGCCGCAAATAACGAGCCATCAAAGTCAGCGATGACAGCGTGGCTTGAATTTATTGCAACTCCCGGTAGATCTATAAAGAGAAATCATTAGGCTCGTCGGCGATACCGCGTTGCGCACGAGAACCATCGGAACGACGTCGGATAATTGATTTCGAGCATCGCGAGAAAAGAGTGGCGACCTCGCGTTCACCGATTTTCTCCGTAAATGGTGAATTTTCCATCGGATCGCCAATCGATTTGGTTCGATGAAATTGGCGCGAAATAACCTCTCAAAATCAGCTTAATATCTGCCGGCAGCTAGGAAAGGTTCATGAATGTCATTAATTGCACGTCGCAAACTAAGGCTTCCTCAGGGGACAGCGAACACGCTCTTCGTGAATCGTCCTGTGGAGAATATTATTGTAAATTGCACTGCAGCAGTCGGGTAAGGATTGCACCTATTTGCGCAAATATACACGTACATACAGGGTATAACAAAAATGTTGGAGCGTAGCCAACGTTACCGCGTGAAATCGGCTGGCAGACTCGCGCTCTGATTGGTCAGGGTTTTTCGTTAATATCTCGTTAACAAAGCCTCCATTTCCTCCCATTTCCGGGTCATTCAACATTTTTGTTATATCCTGTATTTGTGTACATATGTATGTGGGTATAGTATGTTCCTTCGACGACTGACCGACCGCTCCAATCTCTGCAGAGTTCCATCGGTTCATTCTAATGGATTTTATCCGAGCGTTAGCCAACGAGCGCAGCGGGAAAGAAAATATTCTCCCGCGACGAAGGTAAACGTCGCGGGGAGCCGCAAAAAAGTGTTTGCGAATTTGTCATTGAAAGTAGACGAGCGACGAATGAGCGGGCAATTATCCTTGGCACGTACCAGCTCGAACGCGTCGTTACTAATTGTCGGTACTAATTGCTTGTCACCGTTCTCGCCTTTCGACGTCGCGGATAGTTGCACGTACGGTTCTTCTCGCGACGATCGATACTCCGGGGGATATGATCGTCTACGAAACGCTAATAAACGCTCGATACTGCTCCCATCCTCCGTTAAAATCGAGATCAACGATTCGTCTCGTATCCAAGAAAAGATATCATCGGAAGGAGGCAGAAATCTCGAAGGTAAATCCTCCTACGTATTCATTTGCATGCATGTTTGCAGCTTCTGTTCTGGAGTGGAGAACGAAATCTTGTTTGGTTACTATCGTTACTATCTATTCGTCGCGACGCACACGCCCTCTTTTATTTTCATTCGTTGTCCTTTTCTAAATTCGGCGTTGATTTCATATTTAGAATCGATTCGTTTACTTAGTAAATAATTACCCGAGCTCCAGTCCTAATTTTCGGGTACAATCGCATGTTTCACTGTACATGCATAATGCACCGACGAGACACAGCGGTCGGCGGGCATGTGCGCTGCGATTGTGCCAGCGTTCTTTTGCCTGGACATGATACCACCTACGTCAGAGACGTAGTGGTGCACACCACCATTGCTAGCGTCATAAACACAACGAAAAGCAGCTACGGCGCGCCGCAGCGACAACAACGACAACCGTACTCGTGTCCAATCGAGAAGGAAGGTCCCACTCCGTGAAAAGTGGCGGAGAGAGGAGTTGAGAAGCGAAGAGGGGAGAGGAGAGATCCGCGATGGTGTTCGACGACCAGAGAGGCGGGAGGATCGAGACCAGCGAGAAAGAAGGACGGTTCGAAGGAAACTGGAGGGAACAAGAGGAACGATAGTCTATGGTCCAGCGAGTACGCGGCGAGAAAGAAAAGAGGAGCGAGTTGAAACGGAGCCGAAGCGTGTGGTCTCTCGGCGAGCCGTGGCCAGTTTCAGTCGCGGCGTCCGACCGTCAGGCTCGTGATCCTTCGCAAGAACGGCGACCACCGCACTCGAGATGCAAACATCGTCGATACGCTTTCGAGCGTGCGGATCAAACGGAACTGGATCCCACCGAGCGACGATGAACTAGTCTGTTCGATGAACTTCTGACGGACCGCGTTGCGCGTTCGAATCGGTGCTCCGTGTCCGTTTCTCCGCGCGAATCTCAAGCCGAAGAAACGTTCGTCGGTGTCTGCGAGATCGGGAAGATTCGGATTGGTTCGATCGGCGGTCGACTTTGATCCTGGGGAGATCGATTCAGGTACCTATTTTTGGGACTGTTGGAGAGTCCCCCCTCCCCCATTTCGAGCTTCCTTTAATCGACACCACTTCTTTCAGTGCCCTCTTCGATGCCCTCGGACTTACACACGCGTCGCGATCACCGAGGTACCGCAAACCCTTCACGACTTGACGCGAGACCGTGTTGGCCGTCGGTTCGTGGCTGCTCGATGTGAAACTGTCGTGTTTTGTTTACAACGTGTCGACGAATCGAAGAGAGGAGAACATGATCTACCAGCCGAACCATCAGTCACCGACCATGTCGTCCGCGAGGAAGACTTCACCCCGGCTTCAGCGACGGAACATGCAAGCGTCGCCGGGCAAGTGCGTGAACGCGAAAGCGAAACGTGGAAACGACAGAACTGGGAACGAGGATAGGTGCAGAGGACGATGCAGAGTGCAATGGAGCGAGAAACACGTGAAGGAGGGTTTGGTCCTCGTACAAGAATCGCAACTTGCCAGGGTGGTGAAAACGGGACCGATCACGGAGCACTACGAGATCGACCCGAAGCCGTTTGCAAAGTAAGTCGTCGACGATTTTGGACATTCCACGCGTTACGAGAAGCAAATCGAGCTAGAAGTTGTGCGGGTGGAACGAACGTTTCATACACGATATAATATAATATTTATTTCCACGGGACAAAGCCTATTAATTTACAGTAAGATTACATTATATTGGTGACATGTCTGCAAATATAAGATATGTCATTCGACACGATATCCGGGGCGGTAACGATACGAATTACAAGTGTCTAACGCGGAATCATACCTCGGAGAAATAATAGTATTCGCTACTCAAATTGGACTGTGCATAGTCGGCGAATTAAAAGTAACTTCGTTCGAAATCACACGGTAGTCGTAAATAAATGTTCCGTTCAACTCGATTCCAAATACATACACGAGCGTGTGTCAGATGTGAAAACGTTTCACGAGAAAATTCAGTTCGTTTCATATTTATCGAACATGGTAATGGAGGTTTCGATAGTCTGCCTAACTACCTACTGTCAGCACGCATCGCTAATTTGCTGGATGCTCGATATCAACCGCAATTCCCTTCTCGTGCGTTTGCATTCTTAATGAAGCGAATTTACCGCGAACGGTGATTGTGTGCGTGACCGTTGAAACTCTGCGAGCCCATGGATTCGCCTTTTTTACTTGCAGTATCTCGTTTTTCGGATACCCCGCGAATTCACAATTTTTTTCCCGGTTCTTTTGCCTCGTTAACGAACGAGCACGCATTTTCGGGACAAAAACGGGTGGCCGATAGTGTGTCGCGAAAGGCGAACAAAGGTTCCGCGAGCAAAACGAAGCAGGTAAACGTTGCGTATCGTGCGAACCCGACCAATCCGCTGGTGAACGACAACTCCGCGTCGACGGTTAATTGCTCGATGTCGCGGGGGCGGTAGGGGGATCGATGAAAATGGCCAGGAACGGAGGCAATAAATTTTCATAAATTATCCCGTGAACGGATTCGAAGCCGCCGATTTCAACGCCTCGGATTGTCGGCGATAAATCCAACGGTCGTCCCTTTCGCGTCGCCTGGAATCCCATTTTCCTACGATTAATCGACCCTCGGATTGCTCCGACAATAACGAGCGTTTCAATCGGACAACGACCGATAATCTCGCCACGGCGAGCCTTGTAGGTAACGTATTCGGTATCGCAAATAAGAACGGTCCGCCGACCGAATGGGGCTCGCGCGCACGGTTGATAATCACTTTTAGAAACGGGCCTTGAAATCCAGGGCGAACGACGTGCAAAATTCGTGAGATGCCTGGAAGAAGGTGGTTCTTCGCCGTACCGGCTCGCTCTCCGAATCGATGATTAAAGTTAATTGCACTTGCTATCAGATGCTCTTTACGAGTTACCCGGTTATGTCTTCCTCTGCCGATTAAAGGCCGTCGTCGTATGTCGGTGTCCTGGTCCGTATACGTGTGCGTAGGTATTTATTATTAGTCCACTGATAATAATGTTTCGCTACCATCGACGTGGAACCTGGATTACTCGCATGTTCGCCCAAAGTCCCTTCGCATAACAGTTTTCGTGAATTCTCAGACGACGCAGACGAAGTTGAAAACGAACTTGCCACTCGCGTGGGATGTTTGCGTAATAAAGTCTCCCCGTATGTGTACGATACTCGAGGTAGAGGCGCGTAAAAGCGGTCGGTCCGCAGCGGAACGTTGGGCAGACGCACACGCGTTGCGAGCGCAGCCTTCGGAGGCGCCGCGGCGTCGACCTTGCCGAAGAGACGCGTGGAATCCTCCACGATGCTCGTAAAAATCCCTCGCTGACGGCCAGCGAAATTTCGTGGTCGCTTTCGTCTTTTATGCATCCGTGTTCCATTCGACGAATATTTTCACGGTTCTGCACGGCAATGGCCGGCGAACGATCGCACCTTCGTCCCCCAAGAGAGGGCAATTAACTCGGGGGGAATATCGATTGACGAATCGCCACTTTGTGTTTCTCCGTAGCGGACAATGGGCGAAAGTGTATCGATGCAGATCGCGGTCCACTGGCATTCTCTACGCTGCCAAATACTCCTCGAGGAACCGTTTCAACGCGGATTGCAGCGCGGAATTGAGACACGAGATCGCGCTATTGTCCCTTTGCTCGCAATCCCCGCGCGTTGTACGGTTGCACGACGTCTACGAAACGCCCAAGGAAATCATCCTGGTGATGGAATAGTGAGTACACACCCTATCGAATCATTTCGACGTAACCACGAACAATAAAAAATTTCGATAACCTTTTACGCAGCGCACCCGGGGGCGATCTTCAGACGCTCATCGACGGCGATTTGGTGCCCCTCGAAGGCGACGTGGTGCACTTTGTGAGACAACTAGTCGAAGGACTTGCCTACCTCCACGAGAGAAATATCGCCCATTTGGACATCAAGGTAAGTTCGACCCATAAAAGGTCGAAGCAAAACCCGCCAGGTTTCTCGTATATATCCGGATCCCGTGGACCAACTTCGTTCAACGGCGACTGGGTCGCGTCACCGCGATAGTTCCGACGATTTTTTCTCATCGATCGCAACGCTCGCGAAAACCCAAAAGCGTCCAGCATTACGCGGCTCGCAAAGTCCAGCGTGTGTGAAGCATCGCGAAAGAATTCGAGCACAATCGAGCACGATTCGAGAACGAAAGACCGCGACCATTCGCGTTTACGCGGCCAATTAACGCGTCTTTCTATGTAGGGGTATCCACGTGAATCCTAGAAATCCGTGGCTTTCAGTCCGTCGCCGAAGTGCCGCGGTAATGTTGCCGTCTAAAAATAAATCGGCGCGATGACGAGGCTTGGTTTTTCCGCATAAAGCTCTCGGGACGTGTTCGATGCGTCGTTGAACGGATCGTAACGTTCGACGAGTCGCGGGTTGATTTTCCAGGGCTCTCGGCGGTTTCCATTCGCGCGGAACCGAGGACGACTAGAACGCGTCGTGAAACGGCGAATACGCCGCGTAACGTGAGGACGCGTTCGCCGGTCCACGACTACCAGCAGGAGCTTTAATTGCGATCGTTCGGGTCGCGACCGTCAGGCAAGGTGATTCCGCGATAAACACGCTCGACAAACAAATTGGAATTGCCATTTACGTCTTGCTCGGACAAAGGAGCGATATGCTGTTGTACATTCGCTGGATCGGTTCGTCGAGGACCTCCTCGTGAAGCAGCATTTACACTAGGGAACTTTTGGTCGGTTTACCGAGTCGATCGACTCGAAATCCAAAATTGCTGTATTCCAATCAAGTCGAAACGATTTTTAGTCGTTCAATTAAAAGGTACCCTATGGTGCAATTTTGGTTGAACATCTTGGTAGTTTCAATTGTAGTTGACCGTGTAAACACCGTAGAATCGTAGTTGGAGCATAGTTTCATGGCATTCGATTGGAATTCACAGAATATAAATAAATTTATAGACCTCTATCAACGACAGGAATGTCTATGGAACGGTACAAGTGATACATACCAGAATTTAAATCTAAAAAAAAAAGCAATAACAACAGAAATGGATTTAGAAGGATTAACCGTTGCTAATGTAAAAGACAAAATTAAGTCCATACCGACAATTTACCGCCGATTATTAATTTACTCTAACCCACCAACGAGGCGTTTTTCTGTTATATTTCGAACTAATGAATTTTTTCAACTCGCCTATCAAACTGATTGCAATTGCTCACATAACACGTACAACATTATTATACAGCGCATTGTTAATCATCTTAACCAATAAAAAGGTCGGACGACGAAACTTCCTATAGTGTAAACCTTTTAGTCAATCGAATCAGTCAGCCGACCAAAAGTTGCCTAGTGTAAACTCCGCTGAACCGGCGAGACGAGTGAAAGAAAAAGTCAATGGTACTTGGAATTTTTATTTCAGCAATCACGGAAACGCGGTCGCGACTCGACTCGCGAACACTCAAAAAGATGGCTTCGTTGTGCTTATGGTACTCGGCGACTCGCCGCGTGTCGTCCAAGTAAAGTCTCGTGTCACGTATTTTCAGCTTGTCTTTCCATTCGCCACGGTGCCGCTGCGGCAACCGTCTTTTTTAACGAGCAATAACGACCTGTCTCGCCGTCCCGTTGTTTCGATGGGGACTTTGCTTTCCGACGATTTTTGCACCGCGAGACAGCCCGATCGACCATAAAATATCGCGTCGGCGTAATTAAGAGTTCGTCGAACGTCTCGAGGATTCTCCGCGCGGTTCGTTGCAAAGCTACCTTTTGTACCACCATCGCAGAACTCTACGCGTAACGGGAACGTTTTTTGCTCGCGGACAAGACGAATCGGGGATACGAGTACTGCGATGGAGTATAAATTTCAATGAAATATACGGAGCTTTAAGGGGCGACGCGGGACATTTGATCGAAAGAAAAGAAGACAAATAAAATACAGAACGGACTGACGGTAACACCTTTACGGTCCTCGGTCTGATGTTTCGCAACGACGACGTGGTGAATTCTCCGCGGTTTCGAATCAACCAAGCCGTCCGGTTTCTCGTCACGCGTAAAAGGATTCCTGCTCGTTACCTTCGCGAGAAATTCGCGAAAGATCGACGAGCTTTCGGCACGCAACCACGTTCTTCTCCGGAAGGCATTGCGTTCCCGCCGACACCAGTTGTCTCGAAGCGCGTGCCGCCGACTTTTGTCACAGCCGTTCTCTCTAAATCGTCTCGCGAAACTTTTCTAACGGACCTTCGGCGTTATTTATACGGTCGGCTGATCCGAATTCGATTACTTCGCGGCGTACCTTCGCGCTTCGGAACTTCGTGTACGGGCGTAAACACCGATATAAACGTCGCGAACATGTTCGGGCCTCACCTTCGTCGGAACTTACGATCGGCAAAAGGGAAAGGAAACAGACGACGCACCGATTAAGAATCGGTTGAACGGAACGAAACGTTAAACTCGCTCGTAGGACCGTGTCCAATGTTGTGTCTTTCTCGAGTCGATTTACTTCCGTTCGAATTTCTCATCGACCAAAAGCTTTCCATCCAACCGTCCAACAGGTGTTCCAAGGAAACAAATCTACCCTAATTTCACCACACACGAGGTATTGGACATTTCATCCAATGTATTTTTTCGGCCCACTTTTCTGTAGCCACGTCGCCATTTCCATCTTAGCGTCACTACCCACCACAAATTCACTGTTCTCATAACGTAGAGGTCAGTAACGTACAGTTCAGGTGGGCCACCAACTCCCACAAGGTGAAAAATCTATTCCTATACCTCGTCGGTGGTTTTACCCTTTCCGTGACGACGGGAGAATTGTTTCCGGGCGAGTCGCGTGCGCCGCGCATGCATCCCGGAAACGACTTTAAGCTGAAAATCGTGTAATTCTGGCCAGCGAGAAAATCGGCGTCGCACGAGCACGGGTCGGACGGGTCATGGGCCACGATAAATCGCGAGAATCGGTGTTGAACCGACCGCGCGCCACGATTCACGATTATTCTCCCGCTCCATAAACACTCGACCACCGTATTTGGATACAGCGAGGCGCGTATCAAGGGGAGAGGAGGCACGGGACGCGAGATGCACTTCCACACTCTCCGCAGAGTGCCGAACGTGTCCGCACCAGGTGTGTTGCACCTCTCTCTATCCACCATCGCACAGTGGGCCATTACCATAAAATAGGTGGAATGTTAAAACATTAAGGTGACCTTAAAATTTTCCACAACTACGGAAAAACTGTCTACACTAGGAAATGTGTCCCTCTGTACCAAAAAACTTTTGCAGAAATAATTTTTTCATATCTTCGTTAATTTACAAATTATGATTTTTGTCCAGTTAGAATCGTCATTTGGCCCACTGTGCGGCGAATCGAATTCGATCGTTTACATTGCCCGTCGATACGAGTTTCGCTCGCGAACCGATCCCCTATGTATATTACCAAACTTACTCGATCAACGTACAGAAGAATTTCGGTCGACAGGAACCCCCGAAAAATATGTATCGATTCCACAGGAATCTAAAAGATCGTCATTCGCGACTGCGTCCGATCATCGTGTCCAGAATTGAAGAAAAACAGAGCGCACGCTCTATGAGACCCCACGCTCGTCGCGGTGGAACGACCACGCCCTGACTTTGTCGGTGAATCACACCCGGTCCCTATCTCGCTGAACGCTCCGGTACCTATGCCTGACCACCATAACTGGAGCAACTCCTGATAACTCGTGAAATTCTCGCGAAAGAGACGGCAAGGAATCGCGAGACGCTAACCGATTATTGACGACTTCTAACACTTGTTTGAGATGTGTCTATACTGCAATATTTAATCATTTTCAATTCTTTGCTAAAAATCATTTTACAATATAATACATCCCGGATTTTTTGTAACCAAAAAAAAAAATTTACTGATATTAATTATATTGTTAAACTATCGCAATATAATTACATAAACATTTTAGTAAAATTCCATCGAGTGTCCAAATAATTATGCACGGCAATGTAGGTACACGTTGTCTCGGCCCACGCCATTGCTTGGTCAGCGGTCCCCGTCCGTCCTCCAATATTCGATCGTCTGGTCTCGCGTGGGACTCTCCCGACGGCATACTTCCGAGTGGTTTCGCTCGGCCGTTTTCGTGAATCGTTTGTCCGCTCGGAATAAAGAAACCAGGTCAATTATCGCGTCCTGGGCTGATTTCGATCGGCCAGCTGGGACCCATCGAATCGTCGATTTTAATGGTCGATTCCCGCGGAAATTGCGCGTCTTGCGTGACCAGAATTATTTTTACGTCTTTTGTCATTATTTACCAGCCGCCACGGTGTTGCGTAGCACGGCGTGGCGGGACTACCGAGAGAAACTTTGAATATTCAGATTCGCCCACGCGACGACGATCGCCAAGGACCGTCCGACGTTGAAGCCAGGAAGATTCTACCGGATCGAGTGCACGATCGTTTCTTCTTCTTCTTGTCTCGCGACTAGTCGCTTGCATAACTAACATTTTCGCTCGATTCTCCACGAGCTGAAATTCAAGGCTCGAAACTTCGGAGATGTCCTCCTCGCGATGCCAAACGGGATAACGTAACGAGGAATCAGCCTTCGAGGAATCTAAGGTTCGCGAAACCGGCGCAGGATCGAATATGCGGCGCTCGTCGGACGAATAAAACGCGTCGCGTACGTGTCTTCTGAAATGAAAAAATCCTCTATCCATATTGCAGGCGATAGCTACGCAGCAAGGATCGCAACCTCGATCCCGCGTATTCACCGAGAAACTTAATATGTATTCTGTTCTATTACACAAACGTGTGCGCGCTTCAATTTATCGTAACAGTATCTGCCGTGTTTATGTAAATTGCGGCCACGATGTTTCTGTCGATGAAGCGTCGGAATCCTGGAACGGGCAGTATTCGGAGATGTACACCGCGTCGTTTAAATGTAACAAAGGAGATGGAAAAAGTCACAGACTACGGTGCGTTGTTCTGCAACTAATGAAATTGAGGAGATCGTGGACCGACACGACAGGCACAGGACGGTGTGCTGGACGTCAACGTAAAAGAACGATCGCCCGATCCCGTACTGTCCGGTCGTTAATTGCCCAGTGTTGCTTAAATCGACGTCGTTTACTCGAATCAAGGTAGCCTCCAGACGCGAGAATCTGTACCTGAACGAGACGGAAAATATACCACGCGAATCGTGATAGATCGAGAGCGAATGCACGCGGCGTGTACGTTCAACCGGTGCAACGAAATCGCGGGGATCGGCGTTCCCAGTGAAAGTGCTTTTAGTAGAAACGAGTATATGCAGATTTCGCGATCTACATATACCTGGCCTGTAGTAGATGACGTCAGGCTACTTGTTAACAAGCGCCGGTGTTGAACGAAAATCAATGTTGAACGGATACACACGATCGTGTTCATAATTGAAATCCGTTGAGCGTTTAACTGACGCGTAAAGAATATTAACGACACAAGTTTTCGTTCCTCGGTACAGAGTAACAGTGTGCGCCGCTTGGTTGGGCGGCTGCTTTGCGATGACCTGTTCCGGTCGTTTTATACCTTATACACCGGCGAAATTCAATTAATGGAATGAAAAAGAAAAAGCCAAGCCTTGGCCATTGACGACTCAATTAATGACAGTTAATTACTGCCGGAAGCCGGGATTACAGACTCCGTGCGATTATTGTCCCGAACTCGATCTCCCGACAATAATCTTCTAGGGAGAAATATTTCAGACCCTTGTAAATTTTTTTTCTTTAATAAAAACGGAAGGGCAACAAAGTATGCGCTTGACAGGTTCCACAGCAATTCCTCCGTTCAGTGGTGGGGATAACGACTGGACAAGACGATAATCGAGAGGAGTCTGTACGATGTAATCGTAGATGGCGGCGACCATGTTTCATGTTTCAGCCGCAGAATTTAGTGATGATGGGCAGCTTCCCGGAGTGCGAGGTTAAGCTTTGCGACTTTGAAATCTCGAGGGTGATACTGGAAGGGACGGAAGTTCGAGAAATTCTTGGGACGCCGGATTACGTGGGTAAGCCGAAGTTTTTCGTTCGAGTCGACGCCTCGATCCCGCGGCTTAATCTCGAATCGGTAATAGAAAATTGACGGATTACGTTGTCTAGTTTCGAGTGTCGAGGTTTGCGCGAACCAAATATTCGATGCCCTTGAAAAATAATATAAATCGTTGTCGCATCACGGGGGCATATTATTGTGCGCCGAGGAACTGGTCCTCGATGGAAGCAGTAAACAGGTGTGTCGGCACTTTGCTCTCCTCGTTGCCGCTTAATCGCCACCGATCGATATCTCGCCTCGCTAATTGACGATCTCCGCTTCGAGCGAGTCCGCGAATATAATGGATATTAATTGACGCGTTAGCCTCATTGCGCGATGCTGTTGTCGTAGCTGCCGATGGCGACCTTTAATAAACCTACTCGGAACGAGTAAGCACACTGAAACGAACGAACATGCTTTCGGGAACGCGCGGAAACGGAAACACGACAGCGGATTCCCAATGGTACAAGTATGTAGACCAACGTGCAAACTCAGCTTCCTCTAGGGGAAAAAGGAATGTAGGGGTAAGGGCCTGCTACTGCTTGATAAATTTATTCCAAATACTGAAATAAATGTTAGACCGAATATTAATTTGGCATAATTTCCCCATTTTCTCCTAACGGAAGCCGAGTTTGCCCGTCAGTGTACGTACATACCGGCGAAACGTCTCGCTGCTCGCATAGAGATTTATTCCGCGAGAAACATCAGTAACGTAGGCAGCATAGTTAACGATATAATTGATCATGATCAGGATCAGCGACATTATTCTCTCTGATCCTATCCGTTCGCTGAATAATAGGGCCCCGGACTGACGAGATTGTATCGCGACGTTACGTATGTTAAACGAGTTTGATGTTTCTCGAAACAACCGATCGTATCTCGAAGGCTTCTGCCTTCTTGCCTACCACGAGACAGCTCGCCGAGCTGAACTTTTATCGCGGTTTTATAGATCTTTTAGAGTACTTACCTCGAGTACCAGCAACAGTAACTGTAATAAGCAACCCATTGTACCGCAAATCCACTGTCGCTCAGAGACACACGAGATCCCTTCCATTCGATCAACCGACGCGACGCCCACCGAACGACCAATTTTCGTTTCTATTGTAGATAAAAATTACGTCGTCCAAGGATGATGTCACGGATACAGACAAGGTTCTTCAGCCGAATAACATCCGCGTAACTAAATGTTTTCGCGTTCCGTATAGGTATCTACGACCTACGAGTACATATTTGGTAAAACCAAGCTAAGATACACGCGTTTCTGAATTTCAGCGCCTGAGATCCTTCACTACGAACCGATCACGTTGGCCGCCGACATGTGGTACGTAAAAGGCGAATCGAATCCGGACCTTTATTTTATCCTCTGGAGAAAAATCCATTAGAATCGTTCGTTTCAGGTCCTTGGGCGTGACGACCTACGTTCTCTTGACAGGATTTTCCCCTTTCGGCGGTGAAACCGACCAGGAAACGTTCCAAAATATATCCTTGGCCGAGGTGGACTATCCCGACGAACTTTTCGGAGATATTTCGGCGCAGGCTAAAGACTTTGTCGCGAAGCTTCTGGTGCTAGACCCATGGTAATTGATCAGAGACTACGACCCCTTCGTCTTTGCTCGAAGACGTGTATGCTACATATGTACCCTCGCGAGCAAACTCTGCTTCGACTATGGGAAAAATTGACGTAGAAGAAAAATCTCATACCACTTAATAAATTTATTTCAAGTACTGAAATAATTCTTAAATCGAATGTTAATTTGGCATAAATTTCCCTACGCCATCTTGGTCATTTTCTCGTGGGTGTACATACGTATGCGTCTACATAATGTTCATACACACATAGACAAAGGTGTACATTCGGAAATCGTCTGGTCGTTTCAGTGCACGGATGACGGCAAAACAATGTCTGCGTCACGATTGGTTGCGCGGCGCACCCACACAGGCCTCGCCGCATCTCCGAAGATACCTGTCGAAATCGAGAGAAATTTTATTGGAACGAGTTGTCAGCCGTGAGAATCTTCGAAGAGCGGCGCTTTTGAGCCAGGCGAGCAGTCAAGCGAACCTGTCGAGCGACATACAGGAATCGAATCACTGCGATCAGAGCTTGCAGGATTGTATGCTGAGTCAAAGCGAGATGTGTCTGAGTCATCGTCTCACCGGAAGTCGATCTAGTCTCGAGGGTAGCGAAGATTTCCCGAGTCCGGCGGAATCACGCACCAGTTTGAACTCCTCCAGGACCAATTTAAGTTGCGCCAGTCAGAGCTGCTTGCTGAACAAAGAGCAAACGCAAGGTTTGTTGAGTCGCGCGCAGAGTCGATCGCAGGCGAATCTGAATCACGGTCCGAATCGAGGACTCTTGTCTAGAATACGAAGCCTGAACCGTATACAGTCCCAGGCGTGTTTGCTCAATGGAAACTCCGCGGAAGCCTCGAACTCGCTGCAAACGCGAACGACGATAAATCCTGTGATCAGCCATTCGCGCGAGAAGCTTTACGGTTTGCGATCGTTGTCCAAGTCTCAAGGGGTTTTAGACATATATAGAAGCCTCGAGTGTCTCAGACGAAGAAGGAAGAGCTATCAACGCGCGAAAACCGAGGACATGTTGCCGATCTTTACGCGACTTGGCGCTGAGATCGACACCTCGAATTCATCGAATACGTCGGACGGTTCGATTACGACCACCTGTGACCTCAATGATATCCACGGATTCGCTGGCGACGATGTACGTTCAGCCGAACCGAAGATACATCGCGATAATAACAAGAACGAGAATGTGTCCGATCTACAGTTACCAGATCCGGGCGTAGAGAATGATATCAAAGTTGTTGTTAACTTTCCGAACAACGAAACTTCGTCGGCCATGGAGGACATCGAGAACTGCCGGGACGAATCCAGAGAGTTAACCTTCGAGTCCGAGGAGAATTTCGACTCGCTGAAATCCATAGAATCAGACACGTTGACCGAAGATTCGGATGAAACAGCGCCAACAGTCGATCGCGATGCGAAACCGGGTCTAATCGCCGGTAAACGTACCTGCCAACGACAACATTCCGACGCCTCGAGTCATTCGAATAATTCCGCGACGTCGGACGACAAAGAGGACCGATCGACAGAGTCCGAAAACGAGGAGCCAAAGTACACCGTGGCGCAGCTCGTGTCTGCGTTCAACAAACACCAGGAAGTCGCCTCGAAATCGAGCTTGGAAGCGATAATGACCGAGAAGAGAATCAACGAGCTGACATTTCCAACCGGGACGAAAGCACTGAGGCTGTTTATACCGGACATCGACATCACCGAGAATAAAATCGTTCGACGAAAGACGAGTTACAAGCCGCGAAAGAACTGGGAAGAGTTACGGAAGAAGAACGAGAAAAACGAGGGGATATTGAAGAATTTCGATCAAGATTCGGGCAACGAGGACGACGACGACGACGAGGAAAACGAGGACAACGACGCCCATGAAAAAACGACGAACGAGGCCAACACGATCGCTACCTGCGACTTCGCGAATAACGAAACGATATTGAACGTTCGAATTACGACCGAAAAAAGCGACAAGGACCATATCTGCTCATCTGACGATCGTTGGTCAGTTTTACCGTCTATCGAGATCAATGGCGATTCCATTTTTACGGAGAACATGGATGTTCGGGAGAACGTCGATACCAGAATCGACGAGAAGTACAAACGTTGCGTAAAAGGTGCTAAAACGATGAACGCGACCGAAACGGTGGAGAAATGTGAAAAGACACGTTTGCTTCTCGAGACGTCGTCTGTCTGTCCGAAAGAAAGACTGCCTAATTATATCTACTCTGAAATAACGTGCCATAATAAAGAGGTCCCTCAGGACACAGCCAAGAAGACGTGTTCCGTGATCTCGAATGGGAAAAGTAATTCAAGGGTGCAGAGAACAGATCGGTCAAAAGGTATGTACAATCCAGCATGCGCGAACGTGAATCTTAAAGATATCTTGCAGAGGGTTGACAGCTTTCAAAATACACCGAAAGAAAATTTGGAAAATCTACGTAAAAGGACATCGATCGCCAAGACAATTCTAAACGACAACACACCGCCGTACGACAGTCACGACGCGAATGGAAGTTCTCGAGCTCGAAGCGAGCCACCTGCGGGCTCGTGTCCGAAGGAAGATAATAAGATGAAACTGGACGTGCCACCATCTTTCGTCAGATCGTCCTCCTTGTCGAGCGACAGCAGCTGCCCAACACCTTCCAGCATACAGTCGGACACGAATATCTCATGGGAGGACGTTCATCATGGCACAGCAAGCTCGAGCCTCCCTTTGGAGAAGGAAGATTCTGGCAAGTATCGCAAGAGGAACGACATTCAAAGAATTTCCAACGAGAGAAGAAACAAACAGTGCACAGACGATAAAAGGCTGTGGGGTAGAGTTTGCACGGGATCTTACAGCAGAGCGATGGAGAAATTTAGTAAGAACAGCGATACGACTAAAAAGCCTGTCAGTCAAGTGAACGGATCGCAACAGAACGAGAAAACTAGACGTAAAAGCAGCCCTGCGATGCACCAGCACGTCAGCCCGTAAAAATAGAAATCTCCTAAGTACACGAAGACTGAATCTAGAGTTTGGCCTTTCCTAATTACAGTGACTCAGGCCGGAAGAGAATATTTCCGCCAAGTAAATCCTTCTTTTCGCGAATACCTCGTCGGACTGAGAACGAGATATGTAATCCATTCTGAACATGATCCTTGATAAACGTTCACGGGCATCGCTGAAATAACATCGTGCAACGACAATGATAATGCAGTTGTCTTCCAGTGAATGTGTCTTTGAGAAAAGCGGCTGAATGCGATCGATCACAGTATCCTTTCCTTACTTGCCGAGTACATAAATTTTGGGAATTATTCTTTCCCAAAGTGCATACATACTTACATAGTTAGCATCGATGAACGCTGAATAGTACACACGTCCGGTAATGTAATTTATTTCGACCGAGAAAATCTATTCGTTCGATGGTAAGAAGAATAAAAATCGAAAAAAAATAGATGCATAATGGAAGCTTTCTATTGTAATGCGTAAAATATCATATATATGTACAAGTGGCAACGAAGAGACAGAAATGATTCCGCTTGAAGGCAACGATATAATTATGACAAGCACCGTGGCAGCGAGGATACCCTTACGAGGATAATTGCAACGTGATTCATTCTAAGCGAATTACGAGTTAAATGAACACGAGTACAGAGTTGCCCGCGGAACGACGCGAACGATCATTGCAAGTTTTGTACACCATCGAAACGAAGAACGTAGATATGTACATATGTATTTCTGTATACCGGTGATCAAGAGAAATTCGACTCTCGTCTCATTGGTCTTACGCGTGCTTTGATTCTTGTCATATCGAATCGCAATACATCCATAGGCTATTACAAGACGTAGCTTAAACATATAAGAGATTCTTTGTATTTATACGTGTCTCTTGCAAGCCCCACAGACATTCAAAATATGAAGCTTTCGGATACGGTATGGTATAATTCTTTATTTCCTTTTCCGGTCAAAATTCGTGAACCCCAATAGACTTTTATCGCTCCTCCGTCTACCGAAACTCGTATACGTACCAATTATTATCAGCTGTCGTGATTCAATTGGCTCGTCGGAAACATTTAATTTAATTATTTCCTCGAACTTAGTATTTTATTAGAACGAATCGATTTTTTTTATTTTCGTCAGATTTCGAATGACCCGTCCGACGTTTGTATCGAAGATATGCGAATAAAAATCCTTTCGTTAAACGTGACGAGACATTGGAAGTAATCGTAATGAGAATGTGTAAACGGGAATTGGTAAAATTAAATTTTATTGTAATATAAAACAATTCGGTATCGTCGACTCTTAGAATATTATCGCTGTATAGTAGTATACACAAAATAATCGGAGGTTCACAAACGTCCAATTATTCCCATCGACTCTTTCTCACTCTTCTCCTTTCCCCTGTTGCGCTCGGTGCTTGTTCGTCCTGATTCCGCGGTTGCTCCGTGTTCGGTTTCGGTGGCATGGGTGGCGGTGGTGGCATTATCACGGAAGGCGGCGTAATAGTTTGTTCCCACGTGTGATCCGACGATGCCCGGAACTGAAATCAGACATGTATAAACTCAGTCATATTTTCCTGCCACCGTATGATTTACACATGTTAAGAACACACATATCTTCCGCGAGGTAATAAGAACAGAACTTACCTGAGTATTGTACTGACTACGGAAAGCGGCTTTCATCGCGGACAAGCGATCGCTACCAGGGCCGTGCCTTTCCAACTTCTTTACGACCTCGCTTATATCTTTCGGGGCCTGCGACGAAGAACCACCGCTCTGAAATTACGCGCAAAACAGTTCAGAATATCCTATCTTCGCCTGAAAGAGCCTAAAACTAACACGTTACGAATAAATACCGAGGTCGAGGATACGTCCGGTCTACCCCTGAAGCCAAGTCCAGCTCCTCCGACATTTAGACTTTTTCCTTTTCCTCCTTTGAACCTAGACTTTCGGAACCATGCGCTCTGCATCGCGAGATCCATCAAACTCTTTGGTACATCTTGATTCGCTCCTTCCAAGTTCCGAACCAGGTGTCCAGCAAACTCTTTGTCTTTTTCCGTCACGAGGGTATAAGCGGTACCCTTCTCCCCGGCTCGTCCTGTTCTACCTATCCTGTGCGTGTGTGTGTCTATGTCTCGCGCGACATCGTAATTCACGACGGTTTTGATATGTGGTATGTCCAAACCGCGGGCTATGAAAAAATTAAGTATTTTTTACCGCATCCTCGGCCGGGTCGACATCGTAAACACCGCAACAACATAATTACCAGCGACGTCAGTAGCGACTAAAGTACTGACATCTTTCTTCTTGAAAGCCGTAATTACTTTGTTCCTTTCAATTTGGTCCATGTCACCGTGTAACAGTAAAACGTCGAATTCCTTTAATTTAAGATTATTCGCAAGCTCCTCGGCGTTCAGCTACAAAACCAAAATTACAAACGTTTTAGAAACCGTTGAAAGCTTATCGTTCATGGTGTATATAGGATATTGAAATTCAGTTCGGTCGCGAGTTCGGACCTTTTTCGTTACGAAAATCAACAGGCTACCGGCACTCAGATACTCGACCAAGTTTTGCAACAACCAGGCCCATTTACCGGTCGGATTATTGTTGAAGAGTATCACGTGTTGAGTGACGTCAGCGTTCGCTTCGCCGACGTCTCCCTGAACTATTCTGATCGGATCCGTTAGAATGTCCCTTGCAAGCTTTTCCACCCTCTTTTTGAAAGTTGCGCTGAACAACAACGTTTGTCTGTCAGGCCTAACGTGGTTGCATATAGAGCGCACTTGTGGTTCTGCAACGCGACAAACAGAGCGGTAACAAGCGAATCGGATGTCCCACGAAAGTGTTTTGTAGGAGAAGTAATGTCGTAATCTTTCTCACCGAAACCCATGTCGAACATCCTGTCCGCTTCGTCCAATACCAGGAACGTTACTCTGGACAAATTGGTTGCCTTCATTTTAACTAAGTCTATCATTCTGCCTGGCGTGGCAACTACTATTTCCGCGCCCCCTTCCAGCGCTTTACTCTGTTCCCACTTGCTGCCACCCCCGTAACAGCAACATACTTGAATATTGTACACTTTCCCAAACTTTCTTGCTTCTTGATAGATCTACGAGTATCACGGAACAATTGAAGCCCCTTGTGTGACTTAAATCTATCGTCGTACAGTACTGGTCTCTTTGCGGGGGTACGAAACTGCAGCGTTATAATACCAAAGGGACAGTCTGTACGATCCTTAAACTATCTTAACGTGAAATACCTGTTGCGACAACTCTCTCGTAGGAGCCAAAATCAGGCCAATGGGTCCATCGCCAGCCTTCAGTTCTCGCTGATCCATAATATGAACCAACATGGGCCAAATAAATGCCGCCGTTTTACCACTACCGGTCTTTGCTATACCTATTATATCTCGACCACTTAGCGCAGCCGGGACAGCTTGTGCTTGAATAGGGGTGGGTTGAGTATATTCATTCTTTCGGATGGCTTTTATTAACGCGTCGTCGAAACCGAAATGTCCGAAACTAGTAATTGGATTCTGCGGGGAGGGACCGGATACCTTGATCCCCAAAGTCTTTCTCAAGTCTTCGACTTGTTGCTTACTTAGACTAGCAATTTCTTCGTGAACATTGTAAAAGTTTTTCTCGAATTGTTCGTACTGTATCTCGCTGTGATCGATGGGAGGCAGAGGATCGATCTCTTTCTTTTTCGGGGGTGCAATCGGATTTCCATCTTCGTCGTACTCGATCTCCTGGTCAGACTCCTCTTGTTGCAAACCCGCGGTTGGGTTCTCTTCCATGTACCTTTTCACATAAACAACTCCACACGTTTTTCGATCTAATTTCCCTCGACTATTAGACATTCGGATGAACGGATCTTACCTGTAATAACTCTCCTCGTCGTCTTCTCCGTCGATGTCCGCTCTGATTCCCTTAGGTTTGTCCTCCTTGCGCTCGTCTTCCGCGAGTTGGGCTTCATAAGTATTTCTTTTCACTTCTGCATCTATACCAGCCATGAAAGCATCCAATGGGTCTTCCTCGCTGTCACTGTCTTCCTTCGCTGTCGGTTTCTTCATTAAGTCATAAGTAGGAGATCCAGGTGCTGGGATGTACTCCAGGGAAGATGTTGGAGCATCATCATCATCCTCAAAGTATCTGAGTTTATATGTTTTAGTTTTGCATTTGCATTCTCCTCTTGGACACTTTGCATTCCTTATCTTAAACGCTATACTATGTTCTTTGTATATACTTACTCTTCTTCAGTTTTACTACGCTTTTTTGGCATACCCCAGCAAGCAGACAAAGCATTCTCAGTGATAGAATTCATGGTGTGGTAACCCTGCTTGCTTAAAGATGAATTAGGAGGTGGTGGTGGTATGTTAGAACCACTTCTTTTCATGCTAGTCATTTGGAAGCCAGCAAAACCAAAGCCTTTAGGCTTATTACTTCCTCCACGATTATAACTCATGTTTCTCTTATTATCCGCTAAAATTTTGTTATATTAAAGATTGCTTATTATTTTGATATCGTTCCAAAAGCTGGATTCACATTGAAAACCTATATTCTAAGTCACTTTCTACCATACTATCTTTGGACACTATTACCCTTGGATACTTTTCACAGGCTTAGCAGAAATGTTGTTCATTATTTTTAGTTATAAAATCGAATATCAAGTAAATACATTATTGCTACAGTTTATCGCTTGGATCGATTGAAATAACACCTATGATATATGAAATGTATCAGTCGATCGGAAATTCACGCGATCCTGCTTTTAAACAGCACTAAAAATCAATTTCCAATGGCAAACATATAATAATATAAGAGTATATATACGTATATTGTTATTGTTCTAACGAAACAAGAGGTTATAACACCTTTGCGATACACTTTAACTCGATCTACAACGCTTGCAACACGTATTTACCGCACTGAAATACTGTTTCTCACGTTCGCTCGATATTATGAAACAGTCACATCAGACGGATATATCTTGCACATTAACGTTTAGGACCTTCACGTAAATGTGCAATTCCAAATACCTCGATTACTTAGGTACCTATCGAACGGTAAAATTCATTCTGCAACAACTTGAACGGGTGCTGCCTTCTGACGGCGCAATCCTGGATATTAGGGACGAGATCATTATTTGCTGAGACACCCTATATCTTCTGAAGTACCATTGTTAGAAATTTTCGAAATTTCTTCGATGAAACGAACATCTCATTTCAGAGGAAATATTTGGAAAAATATACCCCCAATACCGCCTTCTGTTTAACATATCATGAAGTCCATACGTACTGTTCTTCGAAAGAGGGAATAAAACTTCCTGCGTGCTGTAGCTTACACTTCATCATCCTTTAAACGTTAAGTTAACAAACATTGATAAATACAATGACACGAAATCATAAAAACTTGCAAGAAATAATAATAAGTACGCAACTAGTAGTAAAATTCAAATAATTGCCACGAGTGATAGAAATAACTTCAACAGTTTCAATCTCGATCTTTCGATCTTTTAAATATGTATTGATTTTCAAACATAAAAATCGTGTGAAAATAAAGCCCCCTTTATCCGAGCGTGTCTAATATGTACCACTATTATGGGAATCCTCTTCATTCATACCGTTTGAGTTACATAAATAGGTCTATCACGGCTGAATCGATCGGAATATTCGAGCTTGCGTGTTAGCGGAGGCGCCATGCGTCTTGATGGATTTTAGCGTCCTTCGTGATCTCGTTCGACGTAGTTCGCGTTTTGTCACAACGAATCGACTTCCACAAATATCTTCGAATTTCAACGTGCAAATAACGCATTGCAAGTGCAGGTACAATAGAATAATAATCGTACGCCGTTACCATTCGAATCGTAACAGATTTGTCAAAGCAACGTAAAGCGCTTCGAATGTTCTACATATGTATACCGAGGAATCGGAACATTTTGTACATACATACATACACAAACAGCTGTGCCCGTAAAACGTATTAAAATCCACGGATTGTTGGAGTTATTGTTAATTTAAACAGCATTCCGAGCAAGTCTTTTTACAATATTTAAAACAGTATGCCGTCGGTTCGCCGGATGATACTGGGACACGTTATGTCCGGTCTCTGTACCAAAATGAATCGCACTAAGAAGCTTCAGGGTGATTTACTGGAAACACCAATGAAAAGATGCCTTTCCACGTTCGACATTACGTTGCTCGGTAAGCGCATATGTATATTTTTCATTGCAAAATAACATTGGCGATTGTGGTAGTCCAGAAGGACGTACGCGACCGCTGCTCGTGATATCGCGCCTTCGTTCGCGCGATAAGCTAACTTAGTAGTCCTCAACCGGAAAAGAAACACTAATTACGTACAAATCGAATAACATTGATTGACGTTCCATACGAGACATTTATGTACCTTTACTTTTTAGGAGTGGGTCACATGGTCGGCGCTGGAATTTACGTTCTAACAGGAGCAGTGGCCCACAATACGGCTGGTCCAGGCGTAATTCTAAGCTTTATCTTCGCTGGTATTGCTTCATTATTAGCGGCATTATGCTACGCTGAATTTGGGGCACGAATTCCAAAAGCTGGAAGTGCTTACGTTTACACGTACATATCCGTCGGTGAATTTTGGGCTTTCGTAATCGGTTGGAATATTATCTTGGAGCATATGATCGGTAAAGTTCTTGTGATCGGATCGCCGTTCACCCGTCAATTAATAATTGAATATCGAGAAATTTCATGCGACTATTACGTTGCCATACAGGCGCAGCATCTGTGGCCAGAGCCTGGAGCGGATATGTCGATTCCTTGGCAGGTGGATCGATTAGCAATTACACCCGCCACGTAATGCACGGCTACACCATGGGAGAGCCACTGGGAAGTATTCCCGATCTTTTGGCCGCTGGTTTATGCCTGGCTTATGCTATGCTGCTCGCGATAGGCGTGAAATGTTCGGCAACGGTTAATTCTCTGCTGACCATAGTCAATCTGGCTGTGATGATACTGGTGATCGGTTTGGGGATTTGGTACGCGGACATTTCGAATTGGAGCAGCCAGAACGGAGGATTTCTTCCATACGGTTTTAGCGGCGTGCTAGCAGGTAGCTACCCTTTCGCGGTGAATCGACGTTGTCCTATCCGTTAAGAATTTATTTAACATCTGTCTCCGAGAACAGGCGCGGCAACGTGTTTCTATGCTTTCGTGGGCTTTGACTCGATTGCAACTTCCGGCGAAGAGGCGCGCGATCCTGGGTACAGCATACCACGGGCAACGATGTTCTCGATGGGGATCGTCACTATCGGATACGTGATGGTTGGAGCCGCTTTAACATTAGTCGTGCCATATTGGAACATTAATCCGGCGGCAGCCCTACCCGAAGCTTTTTCGTCGAGAGGAATCCCATGGGCAAAATACGTGATAAGGTCAGGAAGAATGTCTGGTAACTTTGACGAAAATTTCTAACTGGAAGAATCTTCCGTACCGGAAATGTAATGTTTCGCGCGCTACACCCATAGCGTTGGGGCTTTGTGTGGAATGACGACAACCCTTTTCGGATCTCTGTTTTCCCTGCCCCGAACAATGTACGCTATGGCGAACGACGGCCTGCTATTTGGCTTCCTGGGCCATATAAGCGAACGCACACAGGTACCGGTTCTCAACCTGGCCATCAGTGGTTCCGTTAGTGCCTTAATCGCTTTGCTATTCGATCTCCAACATTTGGTCGAATTCATGTCGATCGGTACCTTTTTGGCCTACACGATCGTTTCAGCTAGTGTCATTATATTGAGATACCGGCCTGAACAGAGCACACCTGCACCCTCGAATGCCGGTACACCGAATAGCTTGGCATCGCCACCGACGGAAAGCGCCGATTCCAATAGCGATTGTCGCAGCGTTACATCCGCGGAGTCTGAGGTAATTAAATGATCGGTTAGAAAATGCAACCCGTTACACGTGTAATTACATCGCATTCTTTTCGTCCACAGCTGTTGGATTTGAGCGGTGGTATTGGAAAACTGAAACCACGATATATCTGGTTGGCTAACTTTTTGGGTAACTGCAAGCCCGGGAACGTGGTAGATGGTTCGGTAATGATCTACACTGTTGGATGCATTTCCCTGTGCACTCTGATGATGCTGATATCTCAAACGTACGTCACATCGTGGAGTATTAGGGATTACTTCGTCGTGGCAAATGTGGTCCTCCTGTTGATTGGAAGTAAATATTCTGTTTTTTCTATTTTCGTTCCATACCAAGTCCGATTCAGTTCTTAAACTAATCGAGGATTTAATCATAGGTTTGCTCGTTATCGGTGCGCATCAACAAAATCCGCCTAATGGTAAATTCCGGGTACCTATGGTACCCCTGGTACCGGCTCTGAGTATTCTCTTTAACGTGGGATTAATGTTCCACTTGTCCCTCCTCACTTGGCTGCGATTCCTCGTATACTTTCTGTATGGAATTCACTACAGCAAAGAAGCAACCAGTCCGAATTCGTATTCGATTCTAATGGCCACCTCGGAAGCCGGAAGGGGCGCAAAATGGGGTGCAACGTTGCGTGTCAATCAAAAGCCCGATAAAACGCCGATTTTAAATGACGAGGATTTCGTTCGCTAGTAGCGTGGAATTTGTCGAAACTGAATACGTCCACCGATGGCGTAGAATACCAGCATCTAGGGATCTTTGTTCTATGTATATATATATATATATGTACCAACGTTATCTTCGATACTGAATTGAATTTACAAAAACGAATTATGTAGCTGGAATCGAACGCTGGCCAAGTGTCGTCGTGGTGAAAGTTACATTTGTGGTACTGACCACCAGATTTGCTTTCTTAAAAAGTTGGTAGAAAACAGTTTGGTTTCATTTACATTTTATTACGCACAAAACAGTGTATTTCTTTTTCTATTTATATTCTACAGACGCGCATCGATCGCGCATCCGTTTATATATTTTCGTACATAAATAAGGATCAAAGTTTCTAAAATGACACAGTACAATAGCAGAGTTTTTTAGATAATGGTAAGGATATGTGTTGCGTTGCGATCTAATTCCCAAAGAGTCTCTGGTCTGATGATTTTCAGTCACCGGAAAAGGGATAGGGACTGTAGATAATTTTTCCAGTGGAGGTGCCGTTGACAATACAATATGACAATGGAATTAACTTATTCCACCGATCTGTTCGCGATTGTTCCAACGTGGAAAGTATCTTCCACGAATACTTTCGTCGAGGGAGATTGGAAATTATATTTCTATTACTATTATAGCAATGGAATGATGGAATAATAATAGTAGTATACGTGTAACAATAAATCAGGTACATAGGTATACCTACCTGAAGTATTGTTATGTCCAAAGTACTTACTAGTAGACTTTACTTGTAACCAGATCATTACAAAACTGTAACATCGTACAAAGGTTCAACGCCAGAGTTTCTGCGTTCAAAGGGAGTGTTACTTATATGTAGATTGAGTGAATCATTTAAGTGATCAACGTAGAGGTTTTTCGAATAGTCCGTTTTAAGTGATTCACTCATACAGGATGCAAAATCTGTTGCGCACAGTTGCAGCCGCACGAACCCTTGGTAATTTATATGTATTCGAAATTTTCTGGTACGTACATGTAGTTTTTGAACGCTTACTGTACAGTAGATCACAATGATTGTACAAATGTGTGCAAACATACCTACGTTGTTGCGCGTCAAGTGCAATTAGGAGGTGCGACTGGATACGCGTGTTTAATTAACGAGTTTATATACATACATACATACACATGTATATATAACGTAATCCTACGTTCTAATGGTAGCAAAGTTATTGTCAGTTTACTACACTGTATCTTCTAATATAAAATGTTTACGATTAGAAAGCTACACTTCATCGTCGACAATAATCCAGACCACACTCCCGAACTACACTGTACGTAGTGCAACCGCGTGATATTATTCTTTTCTCAATCAGAAAATAACTCTCTCGAGCGACACATCTGAACAACAATGCTTGAAACACAGGATCTCGTGATTGACCTATTTACAGGAGTTACGAAGAACGCATAACGGTCGAGATTTATGTGCAAATGTCAATGGTATTAATCCAGATAAAAAGGTATGCTCGACGATCGTGAACTTCAGAAGGATTTCCGAAGCAAGAAACGAAAGTGTAGTACGGTTTGAAACATGTTCCTCCGACTGATTTTAATCTCAACGATTTTTAGCTTCGTTTATATACGAAGTATCGAGTCTCGTGAACTTCAACCTTTACCGATACTCCACGTTAAACTACGTTCTCATACCGACATGGACACCGAGCCTAGCAAAACCGTAAATACCGTTCTTGTACTACCAGTGCTCTCTCTATCTAGACTCTCTCACAACAAAGCGTGTTTCGAACAGATGGAACAGAAGCTAACGCCAGAGTACAGCTCGCAAGAAAATCTTCACGTACTTCACGTGGCTGCAACTTCCGAGAATGAGAATACTACGATACGGCCGAGCCAAATACCGGCTGTCGACCATGATAGCACGCATCTTGGAATGAAACACCCAAAGAAGAGAGCAACGAATTACAAAGAAGATAGACAGATAGATATACGACCTGGTTGTTGTGGATAGAATTACAGATATTATTCGACATGTGTTTAAGTGCAAACGCAGTATATAAATAGTACTTCAGTTATTGCGGTAGATAGATGTCGGCCCGTATTTTTCGTCGATTCCCTTACGATGAGACATTAAAGGGAATAAAATAAATTATTCTCATCTTAAACATGATTGAGCTGATCTCTCTCTGTTACTCCTGTAGACGTGATTCGTGGTTCAAGTTCCTACAATAAACGTGTAAGTATACGTAGCGAGGAAGCTTAGGAAAACCATGGAAAATGAAACAATAGAGCAATTTTTCGCATGGAAAACTTTTATTAACATTATATACGTATATAATGTAAGTACATGTACTGCATTATACAGGTACTGCGAACAATCGCAACAATCAGATCAGAACCGGTTAAAGACCAGTAATAGTATATATATATATATATATATCGTTAAATATGAACCGGTGCAATGGATTACATGTGTAGTACAATGTATTACAACGTAAAGTAATGGAGAATAATTAACCTTCATGGAAGGGTAACTCTCTATATCGGGTTCGCATATAAAAAAAAAAACCATTTACATTTTCATTAAACACCGTAACGCGCGTTGACCTTACCACGGTTTAAACGATACATCGCAATCGAGTCGAATAAAACAAAACTAATTTCGTAGTGAACACAGTACTTATTTTAACGCCGGATTGATATTGTGCCAGATGCGGATGGGGATCGCGGAAATCTTTCGATACAAATTGGGCATCGGATTATTCGGTTGACGGTGTCGTACTCGCTGTAATTCGTATTTCCGACGTACATATTCGAAAGCTGCTCCTTGCCAAAAGTACATACCCGTTCGATCGAAAGGCAACGAGGAGAAAAAGAGGAAACGCGAACCCGAAGGAGACCCCCTCCCCTCCCACACCCTCACCGGTTCCCGTTGCATTGAGAAAATTGGAACACTTGATAAATGTGCGGAACATTACCCGGACGCACAGCCGGTTACGCGATCGACCCACGCAAAATCAATTTGTACAACTTCCTAGTATAGTTACAGGTACCGTGTGAATAATATTTAACATCGAATTAATACTGTTATCTGTTCTGCTTCGAAAGTATAACTTTCCAAGCAGATATCGGTCGCGCTTGTAAAATCTCAATTTTTCGTCGACCCCATCTGAGCCACGCCAACCCAATGATTAAACATAACACACTTTCTATATAATAGCCATCGAGCTGCATATTGCAAACGCCATTGTGCGTATCCGTGCAGAGCTGAAAATGGAAATTGTTCATGTAACCCGAAACTAATCGGATACCGTGTAACCTGGGAGTTCATCTGCAGATATAGGGGTCAGTGGTTCGAAATTCGATATAAAAATAAAATATTTACCTCTCTCTTCGAAATTGTACTACAGTCGTTCGAAGGTTCGGTGCTGCATTGCCGAAACGTTAACGGATCGACGAACCAAAGTGCTGCCGTTGCTGGCCAGTTACCTCCTAAATTAGCTAACGTGTTCAGTAGTGTCATGTAAGTACCACCGACCGTCGGATCGCTAACTTTGGCGAAGAACGCCATAGATGCCACGAACATGCTACTCGTGAAAACCTAAGGCAAAAGAAACTTCACTTGTATTATTCCTTCTTTTGAAATTATTATCTCCTCGTATCTATAATACTTATTGCTAGTTTACCTGATGTACAAGATACAGAGCTATCAGAGCAACAAAATAGTAGGCTGGAACATGACCACCCGTTATTACATATGGTGTGACCCACACCAAAAAAGCTGCTACCAGTCCGAAAGCTAATCTATAAGATTAATTAGGTAAGTACATTGAATACCTTCTTTAGACCAAAACATAATTCGTACACTGTTTCTGTTTACCTGTAGGGCATCGCTTTTATGTACACGTCCATCGGTTTCGGACCAGCCGTATACTTTGAAATCGCTAATGGTAATAAAATTTGGAGGGGTACCATTGGTACAGCCATAAGAGCAATTTTTTCTTTCGGTATACCAGCCTCTACTAGTTTCAAACCCGTTACCGCATCGCAAACAGAAAATCCTATCTAAAATCGGTAATGATATCGTATTATTTCCTGTTATTGACCTATACTTCACATCGCATTATACACTTTCTGACCTTGGCAGTTAACAAAAGTACAATAATTGTCTTTATCGATGGTAGCTTGACAATATTCCAAAGTAACTTGTACGCGTGTTTGATGTCTGTGTTTAATTCTTCGTTTTTGTGTCCCTTCTCTAAACCCTCGTGTTTAAACAATGCAACCAGTGTAGTTGCAATTACAAACATCCAGCCCCAAAAATAAAGGAATCCTGTACAAGTAAATAACAATATACAACCTCTGCCCCTATGAAATGTTATTCAACTTTAAAAATTGCTCACCAGGCAGGGTCAATATACCCTCCTTAGAAGGAGTGTATCTTAGGTAGCTATTACAAAATTCAGCAGATTCTAAAGCCATAAACAGGACATATCCAATAAAATAACCAGCAGTTTGTCCCACACTATTACACGTTGATGCATAACCCACATTACACCTTAATATAAAAGAGAATAATTGGCTGTAGGCAGATTGTTACAAACTATACACATTGATCGTTCCATACCTTTTTAACATTGTCAGTGCCCAACCATCTACTACAATATCCTGAGTTGCAGCGAGAACATTTAAAGCAAAAAATAATATAGTCAACATTTCTATATTAGGCTTCCTAGTCTCATTACCTAGCCACCGATCTATATGGCTGGATAAGAGTAACATAAAGAAGCCCATTAAATATTGGGTAGGAATCAACCATGTTTTTCGTCTTCCAAACTTTCCAGAAAACACAGAATCTACTATAGGTGCCCAAAACAGTTTCAATGAAAATGGCCATTGAACAAAGCTGAATTCAGCCTAGCAACAAAAAAGTAATGTGAAATTGCAAATCATTTCTTTTAATTTAGTCAGTATATCTGAAGCCATATCATAAGAATTACCTGTTGACGATAGGAAACATCTCTATTCTGTAGTAACATGGGAATAGAACCACACAATCCCAGTGGTATGCCTTGCAGCAGGTACAGAAACAAGAGAATTGCAATATTCTTTTCATCACCTCGTAGATCCGAATGTTCGTATACGTGATTGGACTCATTGATCCCATCCTCCACCCTGCCATCCTTTGTCATTTTCCTTCTTGTACCCATGGAGGACGACGAAAATGGTCAGGTTCAGAGTCAACTTTCGACGAATCAGGATTTCACTCGTACACTCGTCAACTGCCTGCTTTTGTCACGCTTACTTTCAACAATATTACGTGTTTCATGAGTTAGACCATAACTAAATATCAACCGGCTACTCCACCATTATACGTATGCAGATACATCTTTCAATTAAATGACACAAAGTCATTTCCCAACAGAAGAACAACTTACACGACAACGAAATGAATTATTTATATTGTAACAAGTATGAACATTGACGTGGTCATCATTGATATATAACCTTAATATTTTGTATCAATAGTTTATCAAAGATACCAGTATAATTTTAAAAATGATTAAATAAATTTACTTTAGTCTCTGCTGTAACAAACAGTGGTAATCAAGTATTTAAAAATACTTCACTTTTTATGACTTCAAAATTAAAAAGAATAACTTCAAATTATTCGAAATTGCCACGTTGTTTTATATTAAGGACACGTCAGTTCTATTGTATTAGCTATGTTGCTTACGCTGCCAGAAAGTCACGTGTGTCGTGTGTACTACCTGACACAGGTACAACCTGCAAGCGTTCGCATATTCGATAGAAGTAGGTATCGATACTTTAGTTTCGATACCGAGTAAGTATCGATACCTTGGTGCTATCGATTCAACCTCAATGAGATATCCTATCGCCCAACACACAAGTTGTTTCTGCGTTGAGAGACAATAAAATACAATGCTACACTTTATCTATTTATTTAAATATTTAATATAAAATTTAAAATATATAAACATAAACATATGTAAAAATTCCAAACAATATCCGTCATATAAGATATACGCGATAAATAAATATGTATGTCGGGACTTGATTATAGTTTTGCGCGTTAATTTTGAATATTGAAGTTTGTTAATAATTTATTGATTACTCCAGATTACTTTTATTTAAAAATCGTTGAAATTCTAATTGTACATCATACATCTCACACACACGGGGTCTCTTCAGCATGCTTCGGGGGCTCCGTGACCCCACATTCTCAGCCCAAGTGATCAAAGGCGCCTCCACCGGGGCATCCGTGCAGGGTCTATGGCGCCGCCAGCGGGGGCTCCGTGACCCCGCGTTCTCATCCAACGTGATCAATTGCGCCACCACCGGGGCCGTCGTGCAGGGTCTATAGTGCCTCCTCCGGGGGCTCCGTGACCCCACGCTCTCACCCCGCGTGAACAAAGGCGCCTCCACCGGGGCCACCGTGCAGGGTCTATGGCTCCTCCAGCGGGGGCTCCGTGACCCCCACGCACGCACACCACGTGATCAATGGCGCCACCACCGTGGCCGTCGTGCAGGGTCTATAGTGCCTCCACCGGGGGCTCCGTAACCCCACGTTTTCAGGCCACGTGATCGATGGCGCCACGACCGGGCCTCCGTGCAGGGTCTATGGCGCCTCCCAACGGGGGCTCCGTGAACCCACGCTTTCGGGCCACGTGATCGATGGCGCCACGACCGTGTCTCCGTGCAGGGTCTAGGGCGCCTCCCAACGGGGGCTCCGTGAACCCACGCTTTCGGGCCACGTGATCGATGGCGCCACGACCGTGTCTCCGTGCAGGGTCTAGGGCGCCTCCCAACGGGGGCTCCGTGAACCCACGCTTTCGGGCCACGTGATCGATGGCGCCACGACCGTGTCTCCGTGCAGGGTCTAGGGCGCCTCCCAACGGGGGCTCCGTGAACCCACGCTTTCGGGCCACGTGATCGATGGCGCCACGACCGTGTCTCCGTGCAGGGTCTAGGGCGCCTCCCAACGGGGGCTCCGTGAACCCACGCTTTCGGGCCACGTGATCGATGGCGCCACGACCGTGTCTCCGTGCAGGGTCTAGGGCGCCTCCCAACGGGGGCTCCGTGAACCCACGCTTTCGGGCCACGTGATCGATGGCGCCACGACCGTGTCTCCGTGCAGGGTCTAGGGCGCCTCCCAACGGGGGCTCCGTGAACCCACGCTTTCGGGCCACGTGATCGATGGCGCCACGACCGTGTCTCCGTGCAGGGTCTAGGGCGCCTCCCAACGGGGGCTCCGTGAACCCACGCTTTCGGGCCACGTGATCGATGGCGCCACGACCGTGTCTCCGTGCAGGGTCTAGGGCGCCTCCCAACGGGGGCTCCGTGAACCCACGCTTTCGGGCCACGTGATCGATGGCGCCACGACCGTGTCTCCGTGCAGGGTCTAGGGCGCCTCCCAACGGGGGCTCCGTGAACCCACGCTTTCGGGCCACGTGATCGATGGCGCCACGACCGTGTCTCCGTGCAGGGTCTAGGGCGCCTCCCAACGGGGGCTCCGTGAACCCACGCTTTCGGGCCACGTGATCGATGGCGCCACGACCGTGTCTCCGTGCAGGGTCTAGGGCGCCTCCCAACGGGGGCTCCGTGAACCCACGCTTTCGGGCCACGTGATCGATGGCGCCACGACCGTGTCTCCGTGCAGGGTCTAGGGCGCCTCCCAACGGGGGCTCCGTGAACCCACGCTTTTGGGGCCACGTGATCGATGGCGCCACCACCGGGCCTCCGTGCAGGTTTATGGCGCCTCCATCGGGGGCTCCGTGACCCCACGCTCGCGGCCCACGTGATCAATGGCGCCACCACCGGGCCTCCGTGCAGGGTCTATGGCGCCTCCACCGGGGGCTCCGTGACACCACGCTCTGAGCCCACGTGATCAATGGCGCCTCCAGCGGGGCCTCCGTGACCCCACGCTCTCACCGCGCAGGGTCTACGGCGCCTCCACCGGGGGCTCCGTGACCTCACGTTCTCACACACGGGGTCTTTTATATATACGTTACCAATTCATGTAATTTTTAGAATATAGATATTAATTTATGAACCGAGACTATGGTTTCACACTATCTCATAAAACGACGTTCTATATCACATCGAACCTGGATTATTTTAGAAATCTATATGAGATTCAAAGTGTAAAAATGTCTAGTACTTTGAATGTTTTTGTACTTTGAATGTTTTAGAAAATTATTCGAGATAAAGATGTATGGAACTACTGAAAATTACTTTAGATTCCTTTTCCTTATTCTGAAAATGCTTTGATTGGAATATGAATGCTGCTGGAAGTTTGAACATTTTCATGGCTGGCTCAAGTCTAGTCTCTTATTATAGCTATTATAATGTGTCCAATGTATATATACGTATCCCTCGTGCTAACATTATCGGCAATTGTTATAATGGCAATTTACACACTTTATAATATAAATGTCCCATTTATGCATTACATATTTGATTATATAAACTGATGGGGTCAAAATACATTGTACAGAACCACTTTTACTTTTCATGTAGATTATATGAAAATTGAGAACAAGTAGAAAACAAAACTTGTATTCGAGTTAAATCGAGTTTTATCGAGTCGAAGTTAATTAAATCGTATCGAAACAGACGACGGGATAAATTCGAGATTAGTATTCGACAAGCAGCAACGTTCAGTACGTTCCGCTCGTTCGGAGTGAGCAGTTGCTTGCGAGTGGTGATTCTACAATAATTCTTATCACGCAACATCGCTCGGACAACGAACGCGTCTTCTTGAGAAAGAGTAAATTTTACGGCCGTCAAGATTTTACGAAGAAAGAAGTATGAATATTAATTCCAGTTTACCCTTAAGTAATTGCGAAAGTAGTAAAAAGGGCATAATAATACCGAGTCTAATATCCAGCAATTGGTAAGTACTGTGCGACTATTACTGCGCCATTTTTATCTTGACTTTGTTACCTCCATCTTGCAGACTATTTATTGTTACACGTTTATTTCCTTTAACGTTTCCAGATGACACGAATTAATTCGCAAGTTTATGAGTATTGATATTTATTTAAAGTGGTCTGTTGTTTTGTCATTCGCGTATTATTAATTCTGAATTCGTATGCACAAGTAGGCTACCAACGATTGACACGTTATTGCGATTTGAATGCTCTTTTCAGCTTTGATAATGAATAAGAAGACACATACGTCCCATTAGATTCAACATTAATTTCCTTTTGTACTGTTATAACTCTGATATTCGTAGTTGATACAATACGTTGTATAAATGTGTACGATATATAGGATCGAATGATTGAAAGTAGTGCAGCAAAAGAGTAATACGATGGCGGAAAGAAAGGCATGTGTGTCATACTGTTCCCTCAATAGATTTTGAATTTTGTGCGGGGTCGGGGGCGAGGAAACACCGTTACATTGCCACGTGAATTTAAATATCAATTGTATGACGTAGATCGACAACGTATATATGTTTGTATGCGGAGGGGGGGGGGAGTACATACACACACACATCCCCTCATGTTATACCGTGTGGTATGCGTCAGCTGTTGTGTTGTTTGTACACTACCTACATAAATCCTGTTGTACACATTGCTGTATTGTATACAGTTACTGTTGCATTCATATTACACATGAAAACATTCGTAATGTTTTAATAAAAATGGTCCCTAAACTGCGACAGATATTTGCTGGAACACTCGGCATATAATATAATTTTCATGTAACGATGGTACACTGCCGAGTTAGCGGTGCGGCAGGGGGCGGGGGGGGCATGGAATGTTTCGTAACGTCGTCGTCGTGTTTCGTTGATTGCCAATATATATGTGGTGTGTGTGTGCGTCTGTTTGTCGAACACGGCCAGTACATTCTTACATTACTATTATCATTCCTATCATTACTCGATAGCTAATCATATTCCGTTTTCGATAAATAAAAAGAAGTCAAAATCTTTCCATTGATACGGATCTTTCTTTGTCCCTCATTTGAAAGTATTTGTAGTGAATATATTCACTTTGCCTTGTAATACGATTTTATTACATTTATACTATAATTTAATGAATGTTTGAAAGTCAAGAATTTGATTTATCTTTGCTGTACCTTGTGAAGAATTTTCTTGCGTTTCTATCGTTGAGCTCGCTATTACAGTGAAATGTCAACCAAGTGTATGGAGGAGACCTTAGAAGAAAGTTGCACACTGCAACAACATTATTGTATAACGCTGGGTGTAGGGCCTCTGTGGTGGTCCTGATGTGCCCCATGCCGCATTGTCTGTATCTACAGTCAACACAGAGAGCCGCGGCGTGGGGATCAAGCAGAGTCAGCTCTCTGTGAGCTCCCACATTGTACAAGTAAGTGTTGCAAAACTCTAAAGATTGATCGATGCATGATCTTCGTACTATACAAACAGGGTTCCCTGTGAATTAACGAAATGAATATGTATTATTACAAACTCATCGATAATTTACTATTCAAATTTCTTTCCGTTTCCCAATTGGTTTTTTCTGTTACGACAGATCGACATGTAATTTTTTCATTTTACACAGTTTTATTTAGGTTGGTATAATTATTTGTTTGTCCTGGATGAAATCTTGAAATCAATTTTTCACCCATTCTTGCGATGATAGTAAACAATATTTCATCAAATTTGTGTGTCGATCCATTAATTAAAATTTCATTTGTAGGAGGATGAATTATTGAAAGCCGTGAAAAATAGCGAATCTTTACGCCTAACCTTCACTTTACACTTAACGGAGAGCACGTCCGTCGAGTGGGAAACAGTAGTATGGCGCCGTTGTCTTTACATTCGTGTGCCAAGTTGTCTCCTACCAGAGGGCTCGAAAGAGGGTTTCGTTTCTCTCCTGGAATATGCCGAAGAAACACTGCAATGCATGAACGTCATAGTTTGCCTACGTAAAGACAGAGCGGATCGAGGTACTTGTTGTCCACCGTTATTTCGTATCAATGAAAGCGGTTACGCCATCGATAATAACATTCTCCTGTCTAAAACACCTTGTTGTCATGATTTAGCAATGCTGGTTCGTACCTTCATGTTTTTGGGCTTCACTGTTCTACCGCCAACTCACGCCTTGGTACCACCGGGCAGTGATGCTGGCAATCTCTACATGCTCTATACCATCGAATAATTGACTAGCAGGTGTTCGGCTTCTCTCTCAAATTTAACGCGTAGGTACAATTTCACGAATAAATTGCTTATTATATCCGTATGTTTCATCTTTGATTGTTTCATAATAATTTTTGTTATCCTGATTCCTTTTTTTCTTTATTATTACAGGTATCAATACTAGCGAAAGACAAGTACAATTTCGGTCCAGTGGAACGAATAGAACAAGCTACGTACTATCACCCGCGAATAGACATCTGAAATAATTTATCTCGTTATCGATTATATTTTCCATATTTTTGGTTTGATTATTTCGATTTTCTTCCTAAAATTTACAGTCGACGCGTGAATTAAGTTTAAAAGCCTGTAACACTTTCGATGTTTTAACACAGTTTTGCGGTTAAATTTAAGAGAAACGCGAATGTACTACGTTTATATGTCTATAGATTCGTACGTACGACGAACATGGGCACGGAGAGAAGCGAAGATATAAGTAATGACTGAGGTTAATAGTCAGGAACACGTAGAACAGGTACCTTAACACAGGCTTTCGATAAAGATATCGTCGAAGATACCAATTCATTCTCTTAAGAATACAATGTTAATGATTCTCTTACGAGCACGTAAACAGCTGACGAAGCTTTTCCCACGTGAAACAATTTGGCGGTATTCACGTTTAACATTTAACGTATAAGACAACGAACCGTCAAGTTGTAGAAGAAATTTATTACCGATAAATCTCAATGTTAATTGCGACAAATTGGGTATCATCGTGCTTTATTTTTTATTACTATATACCTTCATATCATTTATAAGTATTACTATCAATATCGATAATATATACTGTATGCATACGACGTAACGATGTATGATCAGTGTCGAACATCTTCAAGCGATGCCAATCGGTTTTACCATAATATAAATCAGCCGTCACGTATAAATTATTGGTAAAAGATTATACATTCAACTGCCTGCAATCTTAAAAAAAAAAACAATTATTAGTTGCATATTGTACTGTACACGTGGTGACATCGAAACGTGATCAATGTGTACATATATATAATATATATATACACACAGAGAGAGAGAGAGAGACACACACAGTGCGTCCAGTTCATCTGAAAACACTCAAATATCTCGGAAAATATGAATGGTACGAAAAAATGTTTCAGACAAACATTGTACGATATCAACTGCAGGTTCTAATTTAAAAATTTTAATGGATCTTTACAGAACGTTTCAAGGTCATCGCAAGGTCAAATAGACACGAGTACAGTACACTCCACGCGATATTATGTAATGTAAAAAGAATGTTAACATTTTTTCGTAACATTCATATTTTTCGAGATATTTGTTCTCAGGTAAGCCGGACACACGTACACACTGACGTGGATCGTTGCAGTCATTATTGCGTAAATTTTTGTTTATTATATTTAGATGTAAGCGAAGATATTAAGGATAGCAAATGCATTGATGAAAGAGAATGTCCTTCGTAATCCCCGATCAATTAACATTGCAGAGTTTTTGCTAATAGATATGTTCTTTAGTGTTGACTCGATAACAGACGATATTGCGGAAAACAGAAAAAAACAAAATGTAAAAAAAAAAGAATAAAGGGAGTTACTAGCTTATTATTACAGATATAGATATGTAAAGTACAGAGTGATGGACTATTATGTATTAATGCAGATAGTTTCAAGTTTGCCTTATTTTTTTTCCCCCAACTAAACGTCTATTCCGTACGTTTTATTTTATCAGTTAGTATTATATATATAATATATTCGTACATTTGACCACGTAAAAAATACATGTATGCTACACTTATCGTTCGTACAAAAAACCGTACGTGCTAAATAAACGTTAAGAAAATAAATTGTTTCTGTATGGATTGTACATACGTCTGTATGTATCCCTTACCAACCTGTATAGAAAAGAACGGGAAGAAACCAAGCACCTCTTGCACTGAATGCGTATAAAGACATCGTATGTCTTTCTATAAATTTCGTAACTAAACGCGCACATAATCTCAGATACTCGTTTACTATGCTCTATAATGGTACAATTTTCAATTTAATATCAATTCAAAGATGCACTAATGCTATCGATAAAATATGTTTATTGAAAATGTAATTACTGTAACAGTATTACCAAACAATGCACGATACAGCAACATATATCGTGGTAATGAAACGTACTTCAACAAGTAGATTCAGTACATTCATTCGAGTGTAATCCCAGCTAAACGCACGCATACACATTGGTCATTTAGTTTCGACTTTATGCATCTTAAAGCGACAAGAAATCGATAGAGTTGCGAATTAAATTAACAAACGCGGGTAAGATTATATATTACAATTATACCCGCACGGAATAGAGAACGAATGCGTTAGTTATACGCGTACGTACGTAAAACAAGCAACTGATTCGAATTATTCTATTTTACTATTCCATTCTCCATTCTACATTACTTAATAATACAGGCATGTAATGCACTTAATGCTGACTCATTCAATCTGATCTTGTAAATCGCGGATACGTCATTTGATTAGCCACCATGTTAGATAGTCACGTCCGGAAGTTGTATTTCACTGACATACCTCCTAACACTGTGTCCTGCGGTTGTTTTGTACTTTAACGTAAATTATTAGTCCTTTTCCCATCAACATCCGTGTCCTCGGAAATAGTTTTTGGAACCAATCCCAAACTGTCCAACATTGCGGACGGTGCTGTAGGTTCCATGGGATAGGCAGATACCTTTTTACACCTGATCAAATGTGTAGCTAACTGATTCCCATCAACGGTCGCATAACCGCACGCACATTGCATCTTCTTGTCCAACGGAGTATTGATGAGTGGAGAAGGAACTACGAGGCTGGTCATTGGGCGCTCGTTATGAATTTGTTGTTGGTGTTCTTTAAATGCCCGCCAGCAACAGGTTATATAGCGGCATTGTTGGCATTTTTGTTCGCCTGGATAATGATCATATTCGTCTATATCCTCTTCACATTCTTGACAAGACAGATTTTCCACTGGAACGTTCACTGTGATTGGACCCGTTGCCCATTTCTTAACCTTCTCGTCGTGTGGCAATTCCGTTATAGGACTGTCAATGTCGAATCGTCTGGTTTGTGTTCGCAACTTTGGTATCATTATACCGTTACTACCACCCGAATATGGAACAACTTTGGGACCGGAAACGCAGTCATGCAACTCTCTCTGATGAGCTTTTAACGCACCCTTTTGATTAAACCAGAGACAGCATCTAGAACACTTGTTTCCTCGTCCTTGTTCCCTTCTGATAACGTGCCTTTGCATGTGCAGTAAGAAAGCGTGCACGCTAGTAATACTAGGACTGCCTTCGTTCACAAACTGTATTACTTTCAGGCAATAAGGACATTGTAAACCTTCACCTTTTTCGTGAACAGAATAAAAGTGATCGATAGCGTCCTTGTGACTGGAAGTGCGGTAACCACAGCTCTCACATCGATATGGCATTTCCGAAGGATAATGTATGGACGATAAATGACAGATCAAAAGGCCGGTATTTCCAAATTTTTGTTCGCAGATAGCGCAAACAACCATATCACTGTCGGAATGGCCGAAATTACTGTGCGTTTCTGTAACATGGGTAACCATTTGATGCTGAGACGAAAAAGCTGTGCAACAGTATCGACACACGGGTGAATTCGATTGTCCAGGCACTTGAGGTGGAACGTGACTGATTGTATGTTCCATCACGTCTGTATTGGTACGCATCGTCATCGTGCATAGGAAGCATTTAAAATACAACGTAGATTTGTGCTCTTTCAACAGTAGACTTTTCTCTCCTTCCATGGTGGCATAGTAATATTCTTGCAACGATATCTGATCATTTTTGCTTTCCTTCTCCCAGTCTTTGCTACTGGTAATTTTCGCATCGAACTTATTCTTTTTCGCTTCGGGTTCTGGGCTATTCGCAGTCGCTGCCGTTACTAACGTAATATTTCTTTTACGTCCTCTTTTTGGTCCAGGTTTGGTTGCTTGAGGAAAAGACGACAACGTTTCTTGTGATTGCTGCGGCTGCTGATTGATGTTACTACCTACTACAACATTATTTGTTTGAACCAAAATATCGCATCCAGCTTTAATTTCTTCTTTGTTCGCCGTTCCAAGGGGCGCTAAAGGAGGTGGATTTACATTCGAGTAGGACCAATTCTGGAAAGGATTTGCGGCTATTTTAGCCAAACGATCTAACAGACTTTCATTAAAGTCTATCCTCGTTTGCTCCGCAATATGTGCGATAATATTGTCGAATGCCCGAGCAGTGGTCGAGCCATACATTTCTCTCCATACTAACTCGTCCAAGAATTGCTGTATCATTTGTCTACTAAGTAAACTGAGAGTATTTTGAAACATCCTCGGGACAATTTTTCTTAAATATTCCATAATGTGATAATTACTCATAACATTTCGAGGATTCTGATCGGAAAATGCAGATTGCGTAACGTTACTGAAGCCCATTTCTTCGAGTGTACTTTTGTCGACAGTGAAATCCGTCATAATCTTCGAATCTGTGTGAACCCAGTCCTTCAGTGGATGTAAAATATTATTGAATCGTCTCTTGTACGATCTATCGCCATCTTGCACAGGATCGCACGCTCTCAATTTTAAATCTAAGGTAGTGAAATCTAGCACACCAAGCACTTCGACTTTAACTTGCCGTAAATTTCCATCCTGCGACGTTGTACCAAGACTAATCACACCGACTTGTATCACTGAATTTTTGCCTCCCATTTTACGTGATTTATCCCAAACCGCCGCTGTGCAAATGCTACGCAGATGCGTGTAGAAGTTTTTCACGTACACGTTCGTAACTTTGACCCAGGAAACAACATTTTGAACGTTCGTTTGACATGCCCAGTGATAAATTAACTTTAAAAGAATTGTAGGTGTATACGGGGCTCCTTGAAATATAGAGCCGGAGAAAACGGACACGAAACGATCAGGGCAGCAACTTGAGATCCAAACGTATCCTCCCGAATATGGAAATGTACCTTGATCGCTGTACATTCCTAATTTTAACTTAGTCTTTTGGTAAGTATTACTATGCTGAGCACAATACTGTTCCGATTTTACCAATCCTTGCTGTATCAACCATTCCGCAAACTTAGTGGCAGAAAACATGAGTACGCTTTTGACTTTGATATCTGAAATGCACATGTATCAGCATGTTTGTATAGACCAATAAGACACCAAGCGATGATTATTTCTATATTTAGATAAATACCTAATTCCGACCTTTCTTTTTGAGCTATTTGTGGTGCAATATCCTTTGTACGAAGATTAGGTCTAGCTATGACAACCAACGAAGGAAATGTTCTGCCGCCATTCATTTTGTTGAAGATTACTTCTCTACCATCTGGAAGATTCTTCTTTGATTCATCAATTTGCTCGCAAGCTACACAAAAATTAAATTGTTGAAAGTGGCTGACCCTATTCGTTCGTTCATAAATTAACTACTACAAAGAAACAAGAACATTTTGAACAATAAGAATCTTAATATTCGTGCTAAAATAAATCAATTAACGTGAGAGCTTTAATCCTGAAAGGACACCCTTTCTAACCTGCGTTCTTATTCCCGACTGATATTCCACCGATGCTCGTGTGTTCGGTGGGTTTAGTTATGGATAATCTCGTAGTTGTCCCTGCATTGGTGCCTATAGTGGTCACGGTTGGTGACACAGATGGAGTAATCTGTTGCTTGCTTACTGTTTTTATTCTAAGATTGGTTACACCTTGGGGGCTAGTAGTAGCTGAAAATAACATACTTGTATCTTTACGTTCACTCGCGCCGACACTGTTACACTTTACTGGTTTTTTCATTGAATGCATGTACAAATACCATATTGTGTAACTTACTCGGTGTGACAACATGTGTCGAAGATCCTACTTTTTGTCTGCCCCGAGTGACTAATACAGGCTGCATACAATCAGAGTAAGATAATAAGTTCAATCAAAAGACATTAAGCAAAACAATATTTATGAATAACATACTTCCTCTATTATATCAGGTTGTTGTGGTTGAAGTACCTTTGTTCTACGCCCAGATCGCGTGTATTTATACTGCGAAAAATTAACGTGTTCTTAATATATCATCTTCCATCTAACTAAATAAGAGAATAATAATATTTTTCGTACATTTTCCGTTTGTGAATGCGTAATTGTAGGCAGAGCTGTAGGCAGAGCTGTTACCATAGATGTGGATGTCGATGCAGGTGTTGATGGGGTGGTGGGTATAGAAACTGACGAAGTGGTTGTCATAGAAGTTACTATAATTAGTGCGATTTTTAATCGCTATTCTAACATTATTGCATTCTATAACAAATAACTCTTTACCTTGAGGTTGAGCTACTGAACCCAGAATAACTCCCATTCGTGAGTCCACAACCAATTGTATATTACTCTGGGAACCATTTGTGTTATTCAACACATTTAGTTTAATGGGTGGTTGACTCTTATTTTGATTCTGTAAATGTTAGGAATGTAGAAACATGTCAACAATCGGGATGATCTACACACATTTGCCTTAATACTCACTACATTGACAATGGGTGGAGGATTAGTTTTAACGACTGTTGGTGGAGCATTTGAAGGCCTGGTATACAAGAAAATACAAACTCTAAGATTACTGAAGAAGTAGCAATCGCAAAAACACAACATTTCGAAAGAAAATGACACTTACAATGTGTATTGGTAACCATTGACATTGCCAGCTTGACATATTAATTTACCTCCACGATCTTTAATCATTTCTTCTAAGGTGGCAGCAACCTAAACAGGAGCAAATAGACATTATAAATTATGGAAGTAGAAACCTCCTACAAAGAATTATATTTCAACAGGCAATATTTTATAAGATAAGTTGGAAAACATACTCTGTCGTAATTTTCTTTGAGCTCTAATTTTGACATTAATTGTGCTTCGCTGAGTGGCTCTTCTGTGCACTCCAAATTTAAGGTGACGTGAGACGCTCGAGCACCAGCCACGGCACGTGAAACTAACCGATTTTTCGGCATTTTTATGATGCGAGGTAAAACTTTCTAAAGAAAACATCACATACATACATACGCTATTCGTGACTAAATTTCTAGTATACATATGTATATATATATCTCGTTACCATACACACTTTTCCAACTGTTGCGGGCGCAACGAGTTTACATGCACTTAAAAAAAAAATATAAAGCCAATATTTGTTTGTCCACAGTTGCTACACTTTCTTCTTTTCCTTCACAAATAACTCGTTCGATTCTAGAGTCGCCAAATGTCTCGGGAATAAGTTACGATGGCGGCGCCGGTGACGCCGCCATGACAAAATTAGCCTCGATAAATCACCGCAGTTAATAAAGACATAACGTTAATGACTGATTATACACGAAAACGAGATTGACAACACATGTACATACAACAATAACTATTAGAACGCGGGTTGACGAGGGGGTGGAGAGGGGGACAGCAATACGATTCAATAATAAAAGGACGCTAACGATGAAATCGTCACGATAAAGACGAAATGGGAAAGGTACAGGCGAGGCGGCCTCTGTTGAGCGGCAGCGTATTGCTCATGTTTGTTACAGCGCTACTCGTTACAAGTGTTGTTTACGCAACTTGAATTGTCGATTATGTAAATACACGTGTAATATTAATTTGGAGTATTTAAGCAAAATTTATTACTGAGATAGAAAATATACGCATGCATATGTATACACACACATTTACAAATACCATACATGTGTATAGTTGGGAGCTGAACTTGTCGAGCTCCAATAAGCTGAACAGCACAGGGGAAAGATGTCTTACCAGCCAATGGTTGGCGCATGTACCATACGACATATTAATTGGCATCGTATCACATATTTCTAATATAGAATATAGAATCTAATATAGAAAATAGATCCATGATGGCATCTTGTAACAAGATTATCATACTAATTGATTAGTAGCTTGAATGTTCCGCTACAGATAGCGCTATGAGCCTTTTCCTTTAAAGGGAAGAGTACGGGTGTGTGGTAAGCGCGTTTAAATGTGATTAGGTTTAATCGTAATCATTTCCGGTAGGGATTAAAATATTTAATTACTGCTGGCTAGCGGATAATACATTGGTCAAAGTCTGAGATTGTACGATTATTAGACACATTTGTGATGTGTTAGATCGAAACTTTATTCATTGATTTTTTTTTTTAATCACGATAACTTCTTTTCTCTGTAAAGTCGCTGATGGTACAGTTTGGCGGTAACGTATCATGCTGATAAATGACCGGCCAATGACGCGCCGAGTATACTGGTGACTGTCGATGAAAAGAACGATCTCTGGTTAAATTATAAGGATAATATGTTTCGCTACAAGGTCTCCATTGGTCGTAATTCGAACCCACGTAGCACCTAAAATATACATTGCTGATAGTGAAAACTGTCGAAATAAAACAAGCTTGATCACTTTGTTATTATTATTATTACTACTACTATTATTACCAGGGATAGTGATATCCTTGTGAGAAACCACACCTGTGGTTAAGTTCACAACAATAATCCCAGTCACCGTACTCAGTTCCATCGAGTTCACAGGACCAAAAACCAGCAATCTCGTTCCGTTGACAAACGGTGCCATTCTTGCAAGGATGGCCGTTTACTGTGTAACGTCGAAATGCAGAAAGCATCCTTGCTAAATAATAACGGTGACACACAATGGAAAATATCAATCTCGGCTGATGCGTTACTCATGGTGTGGGTTCAAGTTTTCTTTGCTTTTAATTTCTACTTACAATGGAGGAAGTCGAATTCATGTTCATAACTATCGACAGACAATGGCGATTGAGGCTCGCCACTATCGACAACGCCATAATTATCTGTCTCCTCGTAATTCCGTTCGTAATAACGTCCGTATGTTTTCGGCTTGGACTTGTTCCTCGCTCGAGAATCGGAGTGGAAAATCGTTCCTGTTGAATGGGTTTTACTGTTAAACATGTCTTGTGGGTTCGATTGGCTTAGTGTAGGAGGCAACGGCTGGCCTTGTTCTTCGAGTATCGGTGCAACATTTATTTCGTAAAGAGCATTCATTGGCAAACCGCAGAATGGCTCAAGATCTTTCCACGTATACAGCATATGATCGTGGTCGTAGGTATAGTCGAAATTTGGTCTCAGGTCTTGAATCGATATGTCGCTTAACAAACAATTTTCCTGGGCACTGTCACCGGTAATCCTAATGAATAAATGTTGGATGACGTACGTTTAGAGTTCCTGATTCGATTAATTGTATTGCGCGTAAGGAGAGAAAAGCATGTTTAGTTTAAAAATAAGGAAGTGTGCTTACATGTAATTGAAAGACATGCATGTTGTCGTGCCCGTGTTTCTCATTAACGAACACTCCCGACGACATTCCGACTTTGTAGGTGCTCGTGTCGATGACACTATTGCGTGAGGCATTAATTTGCATGGCCTGTGATACCGAGTGTAACAAAGCTCGTCGGAGCGGGCTGGAACAGATTCCTTCTCGTATAATGCAGTGGTATCGGATACCGATGCTACCGAACGATACGTTTCGCAACCATTGGGGAAGCTACTTCTTTCGTATAATTCAGCGCCATCCATGTCGGGCATATTAACAGGATTTATTTCCCTCGAAGGCGAATCGCTCAAGAAACAATTGGGGTGTACATGCTCTGGAGCGCGTTCTTCGTGGTACTTGATGGTTCCATATACAAAAACGAAACTTTTGCAAATAAATTCTTGCGACATCGTGCATGCAAACTGACATTCCCCTAAATTATGCGCGAACGTTGATTTCCTCGTTATATCCGTCGGTATACCAAATCCACTTCTCACCCTCGAAAAACATTCTTCCGATGGGTAACGAGTCGTTGTCTTTTCTAAGAGACAAATCTTTGAATCTTGGATCACCACGTAGATATCGTAATCACGATCTGGCTCGAGATCCGTGTAAGAATTTAAATCTTGATACAAGAGATCGCTTAGCAAGCAATTGTCGCTGGGATTTGTGCTTAACACGTTGTATCTGCATAGAATGAAAATAAGAGAATTATAGGGATTTACGACGCAAGACTTGAGACGCGTTTCAAGTTGATAGGAAAGCTTGTTGAAGCACTGAGAAAACAAAGTCACCGTTGACGCTTATTAATCGCAAACTGTCACGATCACATCAGAATTCCTAAGAGTGTACGGTACTCAAAGTCATGGGATTCCTAAGCCACGGGTCGGGAAAACTCGAGCAAGATCGGCCCGGATATCGGCATTTAACGTGATTTTACAGTGATTCTTTGATGAATGCGACACGAGCAACGGCGTTATTTCCACCACTAGAGGAGTTCCCCTGAAGAACCAATCAAAACATATTTTTGAGGGGCTGAAAACCTTTCCGCTTAGCCACGAATGCTCCGAAGTGGACCCGAACACGTCGGACTCATCGAGACATTACTGTATTCGAGAAGCGTTAACGTCGTTTCGTGTTTCTGTTCAAATCAATGCTTCTTTGTTCGTTTCCTTCTTATATTACGAAGTTGGGACCAAGTTCTTCATCCCTTACCCTTACCTATAAGCGAAGCTTCCACAGGTAAATGTCGTTTCGATGTTGCAAAGCTGTTCACAATGTTTCAGATCACGTGCAAGATATGATTTCCGTAAGACATTTCTACCGAGTTTTGAACCTGTTGCGAATCTAATCGAACACCTCTGTGTTGCCGGTGTTTTCCCCTGTTCCTCGAAAGGGTACTCTTTCGAGGATGGGACGTGGTTCTCGCTGTATCCAAATGCACCACCGTAATTGTATAATTTGTCAGAAGAATGTTCCTTGCCGCGGGAATAGAAGGAATCGTGTTGTAGCGACTGGTCGTCGAGCCGGTACACGGGAGAAACTGAAGATCTTTCGTTTGAAAATCCTTTGTTGTAGTCAATGCGAGAATCGTAGAAAGATTTGTCGTTAACACTACTTCCTGAACTTCTCCCGTCACCGTACCAGTAGTTCGAAGGTGCATTTCGATGGAAAGCAAACTCTGTAGAGTATAAAATGTATTTCTCTTTTCTGTGTTACCGAGGTATTATACATACAGACGTATATATAGACGGCATCTATTCTCGAAACAAACTACGATAACGACCAACGTGTATCTTGCATAGGATTGAAAACAGAAAGATAAAGGAAAACGTGAGTAGGTAATAAGGAAAGTGAATAGGAAGAAAAACGTAAAGGTATGCTTCAGTGAAAAGTGTTGGTATAGTATACCACTCCATATTTATGTGTTGGAGTTTTCTGTGGATATAGAGGAGTACGTTACTCACCCCGAAGACTTTCTTGGGAAAATTGTTTATCGAATCGTCCGTGTTTGTTATCATGAAAATTTTCACTAGACTCTTGACTCGTTGGATATAGTGTCTGGTAGAGCGGGAGACCCGACGATATTGATTGTTGACGGAAAATATCGTTATTTGTATTTTTCTGTTCCGTCTGTGACCACGGGATGCTTGGTTGAATCTGCTCACGAAAAGTACCGCCGTTTCTCATAGAACGAAAACAATTTTGATCCTTTTCGTAATAATCGTATAGAGAATCGATTATGAAGTCCTTGTCAAGGTTCATGCGAAAGTATGGTGTTGCTGTCAGTTCGCATAAACCATTCGATCTATTCGTTTCAGGCCTTGAAATTACAAACAACCATCGTTAACGATTCATTGTTACGTGTATCATGTCCAAGGACATGAAATTGTTCACCTCGAAGTCAAAGGCATCGTCGACGAAAATTGTTGCCTCACGTACCTGTAGTTAAAACCTTTACAATCGAATGCCTTTTCGTGTTCGCATGCGCGATAACAATCCTGTACATTCTCACAATTTACGACACGTTCGACAAGCAGTTCCATCGTCTTCTTACCAGGTTGCCGTTTTCGATGACAAGTCACGACTACGTAAATGGCACAATGAATCAGAATCACACTCGTTACACAGCAATACAATTAACAATGTTCTTAAACATTCGGGGTAGGGGTGTTTCAATATATTAATTATGGTATTTACTTTCTAGATTATTGAATGCTCCATTGCTAAACTTACGCGTGAAATCGTTGTTACTTTCCTTCCGCGGTAACGACGAACTTTGAACGATACAAAGAAAGATCAGCGAAATCAGAAGTGACCACAGCCAGGATTTCGTCAACATGTTTTATAATTCGTAGAATCGATACGAGAAATTAAAATTGCTTTTTTTTTTGGTCGCTATTCGATGTAACAAAATTTGTCGATTCCTCCGAAACGATGATATTTCATAATGTCAGCAGTCGACGTTGGTGTTCGAAATTACCTACAACTTTTTTTTTTACCGACTTTATCGGTATTCCTGCTACAGGAAACTTTTCGAGATTTATTGGCGCACATATTTTACATGTCGATAAGTACGTGCAAAACTGTAAATACGATTGTAAGGACAGACGTATGTATACTAAATACACGCGTGTAACAACTCGACGAGATGGCGCGAGAAGTAATGGAGAAATTACAGTCGCGTGCGGTTTTATAGAAAAGTGAACGTTTCCGTGGAAATAGTGGGAGGAGTTATGCGCATGATGGAGAAGGAGCACATCTAGAGTCGCTGGAGTTTTTGGCCGATTATTAGAGACAACGACAAATACCAACAAGTCTTATTGAACGTCTATTGTATGCCAATTTACACTATCCAAGAACCATTTCTAATTGCTTTATTTTATTAAATTTTCATTTTCATCTGTTTCAAAATACATAGATATAAGTAGGGGTGTTTCAATTCGGTTTATCAATTATCTCGGTTATTATAAAAAATATCCCCGATTACTAATTATTATAATAATCATTCTCTCGTGTTGAAACTTACCGAAAGGACTACTCGATGCTTTCTGTTCGTTTCTAGTCGCGAGTATATCCAAGACCCTACGGTTGTCGTCACCGGAAAGAAAACGTCCGTCGTGATCGATGAACAGATCGTAGATACTAGCGAGTCCGTAGTTTGTCTTGCTATCTTTACTTCTTAAAATTACCAAAACACGTCTTCCTTTTTACAAATTCATTTCAACTGGTTATAAAAGTACGATTATGAGGACTCGTTGTTGGAATACTCATACATACACTAATTTTGAATGTCGAATTGAAGGATGGGCGAGAGGAGAGTAGAGGAAGAAAAGGGATGAAAAGAAGAAAGAAGGTAAAAGATGACGACAGAACAGGATTATTTTACCTCGGATATAAAAAGGCGTAAATTGGCATCGACGATAAATGTTTGAACGATTTTCGAAATGAACTACCGCCGACGTCTGTAACGTGTCCTTGTGCGTTCGATCGATCGTTAGGTTTCATCAACAGATTTCCATTTCCATGTCGAAAGTCTCCATACGAAGGGTCACCGGTACACCACGACGAACCGTGCCGTGTTTTTACGTATACGTCGTAATCAGGATTAATCTCTAGATTTTCCAGCACCGGTATAAGGGCGCTGATGGCACAGGTACCATTACCCTTTACGCCAACGCTAATAAGAAGCCGAACATTAACAGGGAGAATAGAAAAATAGTTTGTAAATTAAACTGAGAAATTTATGCGTATCTTCTGAATATTTACATCTGAGGAGAGAACCAAGTAACAAGTTTATCGTATGAATGATTTATCGAGCATTTTTCTTACCCGAATGTAAATGAATTACAGACATGTTCACTTTTCGAACATTGTTCCTCGCATTCCGTTAAATCCGTGACGTCGACTCGCAATACGATATCCGCGTCAGACAATTTAGATCCCACCGATATCCTTCCGTAACAATCTAAGGAATGAAATGGTTTTCTTTTCTTTTCCGTTTGTTTTGTTTCGAAGATTGTTCAGTCGATGAATTTTACCATTTCCAGCAACAACTATATGATTATCGATCGTCAGACATTGCACTCGTAAACATTGTCCAATAATGTTAAAAATATGAAGCACGGTCGGTAAAACTACAAATCTCCGTTTAAGCATTTTTTTTACCGTTTCACCGATGCTTCGGATAATTTTGTACAATGAATTCTTTGGATCGTTAATCAACAGTGGATGGTCCAACGCCGATTAGACCGATGGAAAAATCATCAGAGGTATTACATTCACTCGCAATCACACATATACCGACGCATCGCATTCACCGTGCGCGATAGACAGAATTACACGTGCCACACTAGGGGGGTACACATATTTTGCGAATGTTCAGCGATCTGAACTTTACCAAAGTTCCCACCCAACTGTCGGACTACTCTCTCATACAAGACATAATAGGAGCTCTCTAAAGTGAACATTACGTTAGAATCGTCTCTCTGTTCTTGGTCTCTCCTCCTTTCCTACTTGTAAACATGAAGAAACTCCTCCAGTCTACACCCGTACTACGTATTGTATACGTATTTGTGTGTGATAATTGATCGTGTAGCAGGTACGACATAATGTTGTAACGCGCACCTTTTTTCTCGCATACATCCACAATCCAAACAGATCGTGCTCGCGGGATTTCGTTTCTTCTTTGGTATGCACACGCATATGTGTAGTAATATGTACCCTCACGAGCAAACTCGGCTTCCGCTAGGGAAAAAAGTGGCGTAAGGGAAGGACCTCCTACTCACTTGGTAAATTTATTTCGAGTACCGAAATAAAGGTTAAATCGAATATTAATTTCATATAAATTTCAGTAATTCACGATACCAAGCAGTAGGAGGCGGCCCTTCCCATACGACACTTTTTCCCCGAGCGGAAGTCGAGTTTGCACGTCATTGTACAAGTTGGAATAGCGCGAAATGAGAGAGTTTAAATATCTCATACAGAAAATGTAACTTTCAACGCCTGGAATCGAATGCAGGACGACCAAACTTTTACGTAACCAAGCGAATCTGTAATCGTGTAGTTAAATAGAAAATAAATAGATCGGATTGTGGATACGATTTCTCGATGAGTATATGTTGAACGTTTAATAAAATATCAATACCCGCCCAGCCTGGTACGTAATCAATCTGTCGATTTGACACGATTACTGAAGAAACGTATTCTAATGTCCTTATTTTGAATCGCTATATGTAGTGTAGAAGATTACCGCGGGAATACTTACGTAAGAAGAATGAGATAAGTTAAACAAAGCTGAGACGCGTCACGCTTCTTGAAGCCCGGCCCAAAGAGAGGATGATTCATCTTTCGATTATCGTTCTAGTCTCGACTTACGAGCACGGAATTCTTCTATCCGTAATTTAGTTACGAGAGGTGTGTGCATTACTTTTTGCTTCGGAGAAACGGACTTTTGCCTAGTCTCATCGGTACGTACGACAGTTTCTACCTATTGAATGCATAGAATATTTTCGACTTTTTTGAAAAACGTAATAAAACTATTCGGTACATGAAAAAGAACGAATTGTTACGAATGATTTTTTTGTTACTATAAATGTGATTTATGCAAAAAAATATTGCTGTCGTTACAAATGCCTCCAACATATTTACATTAAACGAGAATGCATTCGAATTGAGCGTATTTATATTTGCGAGGGTGGGCCATGTGTAATCATACAAGGGCGAAAAAGATTACGAATGCACATACATACATATATGTATATATGTACTCTTAACATTGTAGTAGAAAGGGGAGAAATGTGAAGAGTACACTCCATATGTATGTATTATGTATTCGAATCATTGGCAGGCACGACGAGAAAGCAGATTAGCAACACGCGTACGGTTTCTCGTCTATCCCATGCGCAATACTGACGTTTTGAGGCTTTTCCTCGAGGGATGGTACAAGGGGTGTGTTCGTGTCAGGCCAAATGGAATTCACTGACTCGTACACTTTGACAGACGTAAAATCACGATCGATCGATGACAGTCTGAGAAGTCCCATGCCGATGTCTAAAAAAACGTTTTCGATTCCTTCATTCTGTAGCACCGATGTTTCGTGATAGGTTGCGCCGATTTTTGTTGCATAAACTCTACCCTCCTCAGCGTCAACTTGTCGGTCCTTCTTTAGATCCGACTTATTTCCAATTACGACCAAAACCATGCTCTCTTCAATGTTTCTACGAAGTTCCATTACCCAATCCTTCATCGCTCTGAATGTGTTGTATTGTGTTAAATCGAATACCAAAATAGCGGCATTCGCATTTCGATAATACATTGGTGCCATCGATCTGAATCTTTCCTGTCCCGCTGTGTCCCAGACCTGTATATACCCAACAGAACAACTCAATCTATGTATGCCAAGTTACGCTCGTTAAATCCGTCAACGACTCATTATACGTATAAGTACTCTATGCATCTTTAACTATATTTTTTTTCGAGGAAACGACCACATTCGAAACATATATATGTGATATATGTATACACATGTTTTTGTACAAGACTAGGGTTATATACATTTACTACGAGATCGAGTTTTAATAACCGAACGAGTGTCACGTATGTGTTGCAATTCGTTCGAAAGTACAGACAGAAGGGAGAAGCAAAAAAAAAATAGTAAAATTCGTTTGACGTTTTAATTTGTCTAACGTGATACCTGTAGTAGTATTCTTGTGTTTTCCACGTTCAGTTTGCACGTGAAAAAGGACGCGCCTATTGTAGGATTTATATGTTCGTTTAAAGTTTTCCCGACGTAACGAATGATCATACTTGTTTTTCCGACACCTGAAAAATTAATACGTCGTGCAGTCAATTATAACCACGAGCTTCATTTGTCCGTTCAGAAGAAAATTATTGTGTCTGCATGCAAAGAAATTTATTTACAATTTAACATTGGCAATATATGTATGTACTGTTAATGTGGTAACATGAATATGTCAGTGTCTTACATCCAGGCTCTTTTTACACGGTTTTCTAAACACGTTTTGTTTACTTTTACACAAGTTTTTAAACGTTTTATTTACTTTTACACGGTTTTTTAAAGCGTTTTACTTACTTTAACATGGTTGCAATAATGCACACTAATTAGGGCCCAGAACATGTTATAAAAATCATACGTATGCTGTACGAAGATTTCAAATCCATCTTTTCTTCAATATACTGCATAGTGCAGTTATGTTTGTTTTCTAATTCTCCTAAAACATATACAGTAAGTATACTAACTAAATGACAGGTACCCTTATTGTTAACAAGCAAATAGAAATAAATTTTTCTGTGTACAAAATCTAGAAAAATAATGTTGCAAGATATATAAAAGTGTAGGAATATAAGATTTATATATGTGCTTGTGACTAGTTATAGGCATCTGGCAGGTAATTAGTGCAGCTTCAGCGATAGCACAGACAATCTCTCTTCCTCAAGGGTAATAAAATAATAAAATCTAAATTGTTAAGTACTGAACTGTTGAATTCTTTTACTCATGAACTTTAACCCAGCCCTTTTTTTGCATGTTTCTTTGCTTTCACGGTATGCATCCACCGTGTAAAAAGTGACCCAAGTGTATCCAATTTATTGCTAGAATCTAATGTACGCACGTGTGCCAATGTGTGTACATATACATATACGCACACACAAACCGAAAGCTAACCTAAATACCATTCTGAAAGTAACCAACACGTTATACGGTACTACAGTGTATAAATTTCTTTGAAAACTTGAAATCAGACAACGAAAATCGAGAAAATAATGGAAAATGGTAGCAACGAAAAATTGACATTTTTAAACATTATACAGAAAATGAAATGCAACAAGTATAAAAGGAAAATGCAGACGGTATTCACAAAATTACAAATAATTCTTACTGTTATTCGTGATCTACAACTTACCCTGAGATCCTAAAGCAACAACTTTTCCTTCTACGGTTTTCATTTTCTACATACCAAGAAACAATGCATTATTGTGTTGAGTAAGCTATCGTGTACCTCTAGGCACTGACGGGCACTTTTGGCACACCAATAGAACGACGACCATCAATTTTTCACTGGTTCCTCCGTACATCGTATAAAATTATAAACACACAGTTACATATACCCTTGTTGGTAAATGTAACTGTCAATGATAATTTGCAAAGTATGTATCTCCAATGTCTCTTAGATGTTGTACTTTTGAATCGAAACGAAAGGACAAAAAGTTGACAACGACTCGTACGTGACGTCTACCCAATAACGGTTAAAAAAACTGCCTATCCTACTCTGACAATTTGAAAGTTATTAAGTTACAACAGGAGTTCTGTCTGGTGTCGTGATACTTCACGAAATAAAGATTACGAAAAAATACAAAAGAAAAATCTACCCATTGCGAATAGAAATTGTTTTAACCGTGTCAGATTGCCTTTACAATCCTCTTGAATGACAGTATAGTCAAAGAGACCGGAGCCGCCATCTACGGTAAAATGTCTAACCTACTAACAAATTACTGTACTAGAAGTGATTGGTATTATTACCGACGAGGTACAATAGACGCTCAATATATGCATACATACATAATATATACCACAAACGAGAATCTCGCTGAGTACATACATATATTCATACATATGTATACATAGATGAATAAATTGTGTAAACTCCTGTTTCATTAGAACAATCAAATGGAGATCACATAACTATTAGGGCTGTTTAATTTTCATTTTTCATAGATGTATTTTCTTTGAATTAATAATTACTGAAGGTTACAATTAATTGTTTCTAAGAATCTGGGACTAAACAGCAAGATATTTATATTTTGGAAACCAAATATCGAGGACTATCGGTTAAAAATTTGAACAGAATATAGTCACATTCCTTAAAGTTTCCTCTACATAATACAGATTTTCGAACACGGTTTTTTTTTCGGTATACCTCGTCTAAGGTGATATGAGAACAGATTATATAGGCAACAAAAGATTCTTGCCACGTACAGCTAACCAAGTAAAGAAGCTGGTAGCAAGAATCAATTGATCGAAAGAACAAACTCGCAGCCAATTAGCTCATATTATTTGCTATATAATTCGTCAACTGGTAGATGATTATGACTGTCAATTATATACCAAATAATAATGATTGCCCAGGTCTCACCACGTGGAGGTTGCTGCGAATGGAGACCCACCCCCCATCGCGCCTACACCGCCCCTCCCGTTGTGCTTTTTGCACAATTTTCCCCAACGAATCTAGTTGTTGCTTGAATCGAATCAGCCCCCATGAAGATTTTCATATGACACGAACTCTTCTCGTGAACTTCATCTACATATAGATACGTAGTATGAAATTCACGTGAAGAGTAACTCATCATATGTGATCATTATATGAAGAGATGTCTTCATATGAAGATTTCTGAAACAGACCCTGAAAGATTAGAACGAGACATTATTATTTGTCTTCATATGATGATTTCTGAAACAGACCCTGAAAGATTAGAACGAGACATTATTATTTGTCTTCATATGATGATTTCTGAAACAGACCCTGAAAGATTAGAACGAGACATTATTATTTGTCTTCATATGATGATTTCTGAAACAGACTCTGAAAGATTAGAACGAGACATTATTATTAGGTGTGGGTATACTTCGGTTTGAAGTTTGAATCCACGATGATTCCTGAAACAGAATGTTAAAGAGAAACAGAAGTACAACGATGACAATAAAACATGTTAATGGACATTTCATGATGCATAAATTTAAATAACAAGTGCAATAACAATTTCAATAATAAGTGCGATAACAATTTCAATAATAAGTGCAATAACAATTTCAATACCAACATACAATAAGAATAAAAATATACGGACACATTTTTATACATATTTTAGTTCGATAATAGAAATTCAAAATACATATCAGAATAAAACATAGTTACGAACATTTTATTTTACATAAATTTCAATAAGAATTTCAATAACAACATATACATAATAATAATACATAATATAATAGCATGGTTTTATAGACATTTTATTTCGGTGGAGTTGAAATATGATCCCACGACGATACCGAACCTGAAACAGAAAACTCAAGGAATTTGATACATGGTACATATTATCTTCTCATGTGTTGACAAACTTGTGTTCATTGTAGGAATTTATGTAGATCATCTGAAACAAACTAATTCATTGGGTAAGAAGCTGAAAAGGAAACGGGTTAGTACACACAAAATATTAAGATTATCAGTCGTTATTATCGAAAAAAATGAATTTACTAGAACGGTATAGACTCGACTATTAAGCAAATGCATTTAAGCAAAAAATGAATTATGTCTCTGTGCAAAGATGAAACAAGAATAGATTTTATCGCGACTCCATTACTTCATTTGTGATATGGAATAATCAATATTTAACAGAATAAAAGCATTTAAATCGAAATAATCGTATTTTACTGTATCGAAATTGAAATTATACTCGTACAGAGATAGCAATAACGAATTAACGGCGACTCTACTTGAGAAGTTGCTATCAATATGAAGTATCGAATTTGCATTTGCATATTTTTTCAGCTGCAAGCTTTTCATTAATTGTCATGTTTAGCAACAATCGCGAAGAAACTTTGATTTTTACAGAGAGATTCCAAACATTTACAAAAATGTACACTATTTTGATATCAATATTGTATGCAAGTAACGTATAACGATTCAACTATTAACCTACTAACACCTCTAACAACAAATAGTCACGCCTACTTTAAAAGACTCTAATTAAACTTTAATCTCAAGTGATCTTAATTTTCATTATTTTTATCTCAAATGTCAGTAACTAATCAAATCTTCAATCAAAATATAAGATTTTCAATGTGTGTGTAGCAGACATTAATGGTCCAAGAAATTACAAAACAATGATTCTGTTATTATACAAAAATTGAACACTTCTTTCGGCAAAATATATATTTTTCTCAACAGTATTTCCAACGCAAACACTTGGCAAGAAATACAAAAACTGTCCACTCTGTACATTTTATTTTATTCAAAGAAGAACCCGTGAGTGGACCATTATATTTCTTTACGCAACACTAACTAATGGAATATAATATGAAAAAACTCCCGAGAGCAGCCACGTAGGGTGCTTATCGCTCGCAACACTAATCATTTAATATCAATTTATGTTCAGAAAATTCTGAAAAAACGCGAGTGGTGCTTTCTTTGCTCGCCACGCTAATTTAATAAATATAAAAATGAAAAAACTCCCGTGCACCTTCATCTCATAATACGCAACACTAACTTTAGGTTGAAATAAACAGGGCAACCATTTTGGGCTGCGTGTGAACCACTCTTTGCAGCAATATAAGCTGCTGCTTTGTGGTTCTGATAATGGTTGCAGCATAGTTTTGGGCGTTTCATTGATAGCAACACTAATACAAACCCGATCGATTCATCTCGCAACACTAATTCAACAAAAGACAAGGACTATATGAATCAATTAAAATTGTGATCTTTAATCCAACAAGACTTTCATTCAAATAATAAGTATAAACAATCGCGCTCAGTCATTATCGCAACACTACCCTGAAAATATAAAAATGATTTTAATACAAACACGATTTCATCATTCGCAACACCACCCTGAAAATATAAAAATGATTTTAATGCAAACACGATTTCATCATTCGCAACACTACCCTGAAAATATAAAAATGATTTTAATGCAAACACGATTTCATCATTCGCAACACTATTCTCCAAGCAATTAGGAATATCAATATTAACAATTTACAAGGCTAATGCAACCCGTGATCTAGTCTCATCCGCAGCACTAATTCAAACCGCGATTTTGCCCAAACTTGCTGTTCGTTGGGCCGGGTACATTGGCCAAAAATACTAACTACTACACAACTACAAGCGAGTACAGTGACAAAGTAGTAATGACTCCGCATCCGAAGATGCAAAGCCATTCGTTGCTGCCCTCTTCGATACACAGTTTGTGTTGGGCCACTTCTTTTCTTCGGCGGTCCACCCGAATCTGAAATCCTAAAACTGCTCGGTTGTGGACGATCAACCGAACTCGCAAGAGTCTTGTACGATCGTACCACGAGTGCAATCGAGCAGGTCGTTCGTTTCGTCGTTCCTATCCTTCCGACCGCGACCGCGACAAAACTATTTGACAAATTTGAAAGAATCGAAATCGAAACCAGAAGCAGACAGCATGCTCCGTCTGGACCAGTTTCGAATCGACACAACAAATTACCCGGTAGCAGGACTATCACGCGAAATGGGGGGCCTACCCGATCAGAGACTGTGATAGCCTGCCCCGGCCCCTACCTACTTACAATTTAATCATACATTCACACACAAGAAGGTATGCTACCTGCCTACCTGACCCTATATTTAAAAAGAAATGGCAAAAAACAGATTCTCACCAACACACAACACTCCACGGTTCTCAATCATACGCCCGGGTGCAAATTAGCCTAACACCTAGGGAGGACGTCCCGGGACGCCTCCGACACCCGAGCGTAATACACAACTTTCACACTCTACATAGGTACGTACCATTTTCCTGAAATCGACTGGCAAAGACTAGCATCCATTGCGAAAATAGAGAAATTCTCTGAGTATTATAAGTACGTATATTTGGTATACTTTAAATCGATTACGTGTTAAATTTCTCGCATGATAACGAGAGACTCGAAATCAGTACATATTCCATGGACATTTTATTATAGACATTGTATAAAGCAAAGGAATATGTACGATTGATACCGGAAATTGTAAAAAATTGTTCAAAGGTACAATTACAGATGAAATGTTAATTGATAGAAATAGAAACCGACGCAATTCCACTGCCTAACCATACACACAAGTGGAAAATACGTCGTGCACGGTAAGCTAACTTCGCCAGTCGCATACACATGTTATTTATATGAAATCAAGTCATCGTTCCCCGTTGCTCTCACCCAATCAAGTAGCACCTGGGCACGTGAAAGGGTTTGAGCAACGAACACGGAATCAATATCCTGAAAATCCTAACTAAAAAACATATTACATAGTTCATTCTCTTCTAACGGGCTAATATTCTCTTGGAATAAAAGTGACTCGACTTTATATTAATAAAAATTGATAAGCAAATATTGATTATTTATTAATATTGTACAATTTAATTATCAAGACTCTAAGCAAGATTTTGCAATAAGATATATGTATGACTCTAGAT